GTGTTTATGACGTTCATTTGCCAAAATGTTGCATATTTATTTGTCTCTTTTACATGTGTTTAATATTTATTTTGTTGGCTTTCAATAAGTATCTATAGACTATAATTGTCAATAATTGACCTAAGATAGTGGATTAGAGGCAGAGCTAGGTGAGGGTTCGTGGGTTTGAATGAATTTATTAGTTTTTTTCGTAGATTCTGTATTTGTATTAGAAAATTAAATAAATATATATGTACATCAACTTCTAAGCTCCTAAAAAATTGATTGATAACTCAGTGATAAGGAAGGGACAGTGAAAATGACTTTTACACCCGTATTGCAGGTTCAAACCCCACTATCAATCTTCGTCCTAAAATTTAGAACCCCCAAATTTCCAATCTTGGCTCCACCTCTGTGATATACCAATACAACTAAGATAGAGTTTAACAATAATTATTTAGCCATAGTAAAATACTTATCATTATATTCAACGATAATAATAGTATTAATAACTTTTGTAACTCTAAATATTATGATATTAACTCAATTATATGATACGGTTATTTAGGAAAGGCTTCAATAATTTTCCATATATATAAAAATGTATACATCAATCTTTATCTAAAGGTGATGTCAATTCTATCCACTAGACTAGATATATAGATCTATTGAAAGATATACTTTTAAGTGTACTTCTATATAAAAGCTAATAAATGGATTTTTGTGTTGATAGATCTTTTTTGTTTATTAAAATGTTAAAGAAAATCCAAATATCACATATATACAATTTTTCAAGTTAAACTCAACTAATTACCTATCATATTGGCCATTTGGCTTTCAATCCTATATAATTAGTTAATTACCTAAAACCACTATAAATCATCCATTTATTGACAAAATTTTAACAAATAAAACTCTATTATATAATAAATATTTTTAAAATTCATAATCCACGGGCCTTTGAGCCTAGCGGGTTGGACCAAATGAGATAAGGCTAAGAAGTCTCATTCCTAAATGGGCTAAAAAACTTAAGTTCAATACCACTTAATTCAAGGATCGAATTAGGTGAGCCAAGCCTATATGACAATTCTATTTGTGATAAATTTAAGAAATACCAATTTTCACGACTAGAATTACCATGCTACTTTGGAACATACAATGAGCCTTTGAACCTTATCTGCTTCTATTAAACCATCAATGCACATCTCTATGATATTTCTTCCAGCGACCTTCGTTATCTCAATTTAATTCAATACTGATACAATATATAAATAAGATCAACACTTCATCATTAAAAATAAAGATATGCAAAATAACCCAACAACTCAATGAATCATTTTCAAATGGGAAAATAACTCCCAGAAACTGAACAAAGCAGCGACCATAAAACAATACTATTCCCTCCGTTTGATATTATTTATCATGGTTTCTATTTTTAGAGTCAAACTATAAAACTTTTACTAACATTTCATATTAATATGAAAAAGTTGTAATTTATAATACTTTTCTTATAGTTTTAGAATATCTAAATTTTTTTTTGTTTAAAATATTGAATTAATGTGATCTAATTTACTTTTGAAAATTAGTCAAATTGACTTTCGATAAGCGCAATAGTTGGCAATGTGTGTTATCAATATCTCTACGTGTGATTCGGTGAGACCTAAAATTTATCCAAATTCTTTTCAGTCGACGCACCATTTGTCCACAAACGGACCGTCCTGTCCTTCCGTTGGTTGGTTCAGAGACTTGTCAAGGTCCTATTCTAACCTAATACTAATTCCCTACCAATGGAAACCATCTACGGGGTTCCATAGTCCTACGAGCCGTTGATGCCACCGTCGTTTGGGGGCTGCCTGAGACAATCTTTTCTCCAAGTTTGGGTATGTTTTCCCAGACGTTTCAAACCCAAATATGATACTCTATGAGTTTATAACCTCTCACATGAATTTCATCCAAAATGAACACGTAAAACTCGATGAAACATGCTTAGACACACAAGGTCATTTCAAGGCACCGACTCGCACCCCACACTCGATGAACATATCAATGACAATGATAATATTACAAAATGGTAAAAACACTTTAGAAGCACGACGTAGTGCATCATACAAGCTTACCAACACGAAATTGTACCAACTAAATGTGCCATTTTGACTAATATAATCGAGATTTGTCAAATATATCAACTTAACTATGTTTGCCGACGTGTTAGAAAACAACGTATCCAAATAATCAATTTTATCTAACGCTTAGCAAGTTGATAATAATTATCTCACCAAATTTCTTCATGTGACTTTTCAGTGCACTTATATCAAGCCTACTTCCGTCCAACTTTTCACCCTATGTTCTAAAACCAAATAAATTTTTCACATATAATCTGTAATTCATTAAGTAGGTGTTTGGCGATACGGTATCATGAGATGGAATTAGCGTTTGAACATGCGATTTTGTGCTGATTCAGTCTGATGATTCCATATCATGAGATGTGATACTATATTTTTTTTAAAATCATGATATAGAATCATATGGGAATACCATATCATGATTTGAGATTTTTTAATTAGAAAATTGATTCACGAGTTTAGATTTTGTTAAAACAACCCTACATTTATATCTACTAACCACTTATTTCACATGTATATAAAATTTATAATCACATCATTACTTTTAAAAATTTATTGTTATCACCGACATAAAATTTATTATTCTTACTAACATATAGTCAATTTAACTTCACGATTATTGTGTAATAACTATGTAATAATTTATCATACGATTTTATGATTCTTTGTTTATTTGATAATATTGAATAAACAATTGAGACTATTTTAATAATTTTAAAACTTATGGGATTTTTTATGTTTATGAGAAAATATACACTACTAAAATTTCATATCGGTTGTCCAAACAAAACTTTAATTTTGTCTTATGATTCCATATCATGATACCATATCGCATGGCCAAACGGGCCCTAAAATAGCAACTATCACATTTGATAACAAATTAAAGGTGGAACTCCTATGTCTTGTTACAACTATATATGAATCTACCTCATAGTACAAGCCATTCATTTGAATGTGTTGTTAAAATTCAATATCTTTTAATCAATATATCAAATCTTAATACAAATAAAACTGAATGAAATGTTATGATTACCTATAATTCTAAAGCTAAGTCCGCTCACATACCAAGATATTTTATCTCTCACACACATAACCATTTTTTCCAGTGTAATTTTGGATTATATATTACTGACATATATTCAATCATCATAATTTTACATCTACATATATGTTGTATCCATAGGTCTAAGTAGTACATAACCAAAACGTATAAAATGTAGTTTCTTTTACCATTTTTTATGTGTTATTTGTACTTTCTTCTAAACAATTCTGTTATTTTTAGGGGTTCCACATCTCATGTTTGTTGTTTTGGAATGTTGGGGGGTTTGGAAGGGGTCGGGCATAATTCGATTTAAATCGAAAAAACCAACTGAATTGAACTTTTTTTATCGATTTCGGGTCGATTTATTCGATCAGTTTCGATTTGAAAATTTAATATTTTGATTATTCAGCTTGATTTTTGGTTTTTAACAAATTAAATTTGGTTTAATCGGAAAAACGAATTTAATAACACTAATGACTATTTCTTACTCTAAATAATACTAACACTATTGTTAGTGAGGCCAAGCCCAATATCAATCTGGCCCAATTAAGGGGACTTTGAGTGACCCAAACCCAGTTTCCTTGGGGAACTTTCACATATAGCCACTAAAAAATAGCTTAATTACTCTCCATAATTATAGTTTAATAATTACAATTCATAGTTACATGTTATAGGGAGGAGAGAGGCGAATGAGACAGAGAGAGGGGGGCAAAAAGTGGGAAAAAGGTGAATAATATATGTATATCATTTAGATAATTGTATATGATACATATGTATTTGTATATATGACAAGCAAGATTGGAAGAGGGAGGAGAGAGGTGAGAGATATTGGGAGAGAGGCAAGCGAGAGAGGGCAGAGAGGAAGAGAGATGAATTGTATATGTATATCGATTAGATAATTTTATATTATACATACGTAATTGTATATATGGCAAGCGAGATTGGGAGAGAGATGAGAGAGGTGAGCGAGATTGAGAGGGGGGAGAGAGGCGAGCGGGAGAGGGCAGGGAGTGGAAAGAGGTGAATTGTATATGTATATCGATTAGATAATTGTATATTATAAATATGTATTTGTATATTCTGACGAATTATACATATACAAATGTAGCTAATTATACAAACTCGAAGTCAGCCCACGTAATTAATGTATAATGTTAGTCGTTAGTGATAATTATAGCAAATTAAAGCTATGATGAGTAATTAAGTGGTATACGTTTGCTTAACTGCATAATTTTTCCATTTCCATTACCCCGAATCTTAAGACTAAAATTGTCGTCTCTAAAGTCTTTACAACATGTAACAACTCTCAAGTCTCATGCGTCGCAACTGTGGCCTCTCATGGAGACGTCATACGTCGACTCAACATTTCTCATAATCAAAGCTCGAAATTGAGACTTTAAATTAAAGGAGAAACCATCCAAGTCGTTGCGATCTTTAGCTCAACATTTCTTTTCTAAGCAAAGTAATACTAACAAAAAATAATTTACTTATTTAATAAAATTTACTACTCCTTTCATCCCATTTTATGTGACACTTTTCGCATTTCGAGATTCAAACAAATTTATTTTTGACTGTATGTTTTTCGTAGATCCTTTTAACATTTTGAATTATCAATTATTGTGGCTTATATTACTCTTTACATACTTTATAAATATATAAATTCCATTTCAAAAAATTTAAAAATTTCATACGTAAATATCCAATTAAAATTAACATATTTGACTCTCGAAAAATAAAAAATACAACATAAAATGGAACAAATGGAGTAATTTTTAGTATTAGTTATGCTTTTTTATATGTGATCTCAAGGCCTAAAAAAATGAAATATTTGTTTGTTAAACTATTTTTCCAACTGTGGCTTACTAATGTATATGTGTATATATATAAGTAGAAAAAAAGGTTGAGTGGAAGTCACGCCTTTCATATTAGTTCGTTGCTCACGAGACACAAACAAACAATCGGAAATTTCCGGTGAAAAGTCGCCGGAATCTGAGATCCCTTGCCGGCAACGGCGATGAAAAGCATGATGAACAATGGAACTAAGAAGAGCTCGAAAATCGGAAAAACAGAGATTTCTGAATCGGGAATATTGAAGGAGAAGAAGATGAATAGTTATAAGGAGGAGGAGAAGAAGTTCAAGCGTAGATTGATGAAATTCGAAGAATTACCTGTGTATCTTCAGGATAATGAGTTCATCAGAGACTATTATCGTTGTGAATGGCCTCTTAAGGAGGTAGCTCTTAGCGTCTTCTCTTGGCATAATGAGACTCTCAATATTTGGACGTAAGTTCGAAATTCAAATTTTTACTTCATTTTGCATATGATTTTGCGTTGATTTTCAAGTTTTCATCTCAATTTCACTCATTTGCATTTGAATTTCGTTGATTTTCCAGATTTTCTAGCTCTCGTTATACGAATTTCAAATTTGTAGGATCCTCCATTTGACTCTTAATTTCACTCATTTGCATTTAAATTTAGATGATTTTCGAACTTTGTACTTCTTATTATACTAATGTCGAACTCAGAGATCTCTATTTTCACAACTTAACTCTTAGTTTCACTCCTTTGCATTTGAATCAAATCGATTTTTGTGTTTTTAGCTCTGATTTTACGATTTGGAGAAACTTTTCGCACAATGCGAGAATTCAATTTCACTCATTTGAATTTATCTGATTTTCGAGCTATATTAATCTTATGTTACAAAATATCGTAGGCATTTGGTAGGTTTTGTGGTGTTTGTGACGTTGACGGTAACGAGCTTGATGGAGAAGACGGCAATGGAGACTCTGCTAGCTGGTTTCTCCAGGTTCGTTTTCGTAATTTCAATGATATTTTAGGTCCTTTTTGTCATTTCATACATTGGTAAAAGAGATCCACAATTTTCAAAACAGACCGGCGGGAATGGGACCGTGGCCGACCATGAAGAGCAATGGCTCAGCTGATTCTTTTCCGGTGAGTTACCGTTTTATTAAATTAAATTTATAATTAGCGATTTTTTATTAATAATATAGTAAAATTCTCGATAGGAATAACCTTACCGTTCATTGCGTGTTTGGTAAAAATCTCAGTACGATTTTTTTTTAGCTTAAATAAATGACGGTAAAAGACATTAGATGACACCACTGTTCGAAAAGTATGGGCTTTTAGTGGATCCTACTTTTGGAATACTTTAGAAATATAGCTGAGCTGTGGAATGAATCTTACAATTTCACGGGTCCTCTTAACTAGCTCTTTTTTATCTTATAAGAATTCGAATATTTTTTTTTATGATGTTAAGATCTTTGATGTGATGAATTTAAGTATTTAAGTTGTATCTCAATTGTGCAAATTTTGAATTTGTTGTCTATTTTTATGTACTTCTCTTTTTGTAAAATCTTTTAAGATTTGAGTCTGCTTGAAGTGAATAATGTGTTGAGTTATGAATCTATCAAAAATAATTTTTATATTTTGGTAGGGTATGTGGATGCATACAAATCATTCATTTGTTAGATTATGTTATTGTCGTTGCTTTTGACAATAACGATACAAAGTGACTCAACATAGCCTTTTACTTATTTGGACAGAAAATTAGTATATCATGTCAAAAAACTCTTGCATTTCAGCTTTAGCTCTTTTTGCATAAAAAATAATGATTGTACGAATATTTGACATAAAAAAATACAATGGACAGGAGAAAAAGATATGTAAGCTTTTGGATCTAGGGGTCATTTGATACTTAAAGATAATTAGTGTATAATATTTTTTCGACAAAATTTGAGATTAATTTTATTTCATATTTAGTTTAAGATATTAGCTAATCGCAGAATCATTTCATCTTACTATATATACGAAAATGATAAAATAGTATATAGAAAGAGAGAAATATAAAACCTTGCATGATTATTCCACCTTGCGAACCAATTTGACCCCAATAAAATTTGCTTGATCACTCCAATAATGTCATTGTCACAATCAAGGACTTCTTAGAGGTCCATATGGATATAGTTATTAAATTTGACCAAAAGAGTTAGCAAAGTCAGATTTTTGGAAATGGTGACACTGACCATGAAGAGACATAGTATTATTAAATAGACACCTTCACTCCATTTCCAAAGACAAATGTTTTTTACCTGATTGGTGGGTAAAAATTTTGAGGGGTGACCAAACATGCCAGCTCAATACAGTTCCAAAGCATTCCAAGTGCCATAAAATTCTTTTGATTTATGTTTCAGTAATAATAAGGTCATTTCGTCCTTGGCATTGCTGAATCTGCAATTCATCCAACCTTACTGCTATACAAATTATTTGGAACCTTAATCATAATCAGGAATTTGGGGTGATATATATGTCTGTATTGATGGTTATTAGTAGCAAATTTAAAGATAGAGTTGGTCAACATTTTGCTGAAGTATAGATATGAACAAATGCAGACTGTCTTAGAAGTAGAATAACTAAAGTTCAAAGAAAGATAAAAGAGTTGGTTGCAATAAGATTTCTGTGGTCACAACCAAGCTGGCTGTTTATATCGTTACACCTTAAGTGGTCATAACCAAGCTGGTTGTTTGTATTGTTACACTTTAAGTCGTCACAACCAAGCTGGTTGTCTGTATTGTTGGAACACCTGAGTAGAATATCAGATCAAATGTGGTGTCATATTAAGCTCTCTCAATTCTTGATGTTGATGAGTAGTTAAAAAAAGGTGGTCTCAATTTCAGTTAAGAGATCCTGGGCAGTCAGATACCATTCAAGATATATTTCGTTGTCAAAACGTTTCATGAACTTGAATGGGCTATAACTTTCTTGGCTGCTCTATAAATCCGAAATGTTAGACCAGTATTGGTGAAGTCACAAAAAGACGGCTTTCTTTCGGAGACCACTAAAGGTGGTTCCTACTGAATACAATTGAGTTTAGTCCCAAATGTAGTAATACTGCCTATCTAATAAGATTTTGTTGTAAAAGCATTGACGTCATCCTTCTTGCCATTACCTCCAGGCTCCAGGCAAGCTTTGTGACATTAGTTAGCTTCTACAGTTGCAAATTGATAATCTTTTACTATATATCTAGGTGCGGCCCTTGAAGGAGGGGTTCCAGTATAACTAACATTATTGTGTGGAAAGAAGTGATGCATCTTAACCTCTATCATATTTTGGGGGGAAATTGTTTGTATTATGCAAATGTTAAGCAGTAAACGAGACGCTAAGCATCGTCTCATCGAAAAATTTAATTTCTGTTTTGCAGGATTCTTATACTAGTCACATCTCAAACCCCTCATTTCTAGGTGCATATGGAGATGGTTATGAAGTTGCCATATGGCCTTGGTTTGTTTTCTTAGGAGGGGCTATGATCTGTTTGGTCTTCAGCTCTGTCTCTCACCTATTTGCTTGCCACTCCCATAAATTTACCCTCTTCTTCTGGCGTCTCGATTACTCTGGGATTTCTATCATGATCATCTGTTCTTTCTTCGCTCCTGTATATTACACTTTCTGTTGTCAGCCATACTGGTGTCTCCTTTACCTATCCTCCATTACTATAGTCGGTATCCTTGTCATTTTCACTCTTTTTGCCCCGGCTCTCACCTCTGGTAAGTTTAGATCATTCAGGGCTGTTCTGTTCCTTGCTATGGGTTTCTCAGGTGTGATTCCAGCAGCACATGCTGTTTCCCTCTACTTTCATCACCCACAAGTACTCGTGGCTCTAGTCTACGAGATCACCATGGGCCTTTTATATGCTGCTGGAGCAGTGTTCTACGTTACAAGGTTTCCAGAGAGATGGAAACCTGGTACATTTGACCTTGTTGGACAGAGCCATCAAATCTTCCATGTACTCGTCGTTGCAGCTGCCCTCTCACATAGCATAGCAACTCTGGTTATTATGGACTGGCGTCGAGGATTGCCACCATGCAATGCAGGTATTCTTGGATAGACTATAGTAAATCTACAAAAGTGCAAATAGCATTATTCCCAACTCATAAACTTCATTACTCTTAGCTCCTAACACAAAAAGGACTCAGGAAGTTATCCTTACTAGTTATGTTAGTAATAGTTTACTATGCATCAATAAAATTGATAGTTCTCATACTGCTGTCTTCGTATCTTACTGAAACATATAATGTTTGTTGTGCCATGGATTCTACGAGTCCATGTATACGTGATATACGTAAAGTGTTTGTTGTGCCATGGATTCCTATGAGTCCATGTATACGTGATATACGTATAATGTTTGTTGTGCCATGGACGCCTACGAGTCCATGTAAACTTCGTTTGAGTGCTAGAGAATCCTCAAATTAGTGAAACGGGGTATAAACGAATGAAAATATAGCTAGATTTATATTGTTAATTCCAATTACCTTTGAGACTGAGACGAATTTGTTGCGTTGACTATCCAAACAAACGTAAGTGCCGGAGATGGCAAGATAACAAAGATTCAATATAATATATTATCATGGTAATAGTTGTTGCAAAAATAAGTTCCACAAATATTTACTCACAAAGATGGTAAAGATAAATACAAATACATCAAGTTGATTGTACCATACACCAAATCCTAACAACTATATAGTAAATGAATATTGTGCATTACACTTTCTAGTACGTGTATGCATAGTATTAGCATTAATAGTTCAGCCTAACCCAATAACTTCGACTCAAACGGTTAATAAGTTCAAAACATTCCAAAGTATAAATCCTGAACACACCTCTATTTATCAGGCAAATGAACCATGTTCCTTTATCAATCTTCGATGAAAGGAGTCATATGTATAAAAACTTGAAAGAACATTTGTGACGGATTGTAAAAATTGATTTACGTGACTATAGAAATCATTGAATAAAACAATTCAAGATTCCAAATTGACAATTCCCAACTATTATATTATATGAGATGTTGGAATTATGAAATTACCAAACAAGTAAAAGAATGAAATACGAAAAGGGAATATCACGTGATGTAATTAAGACAAAACACCCTAATCAACCAACCAATTAATCAACAAACACCAAAATTCAAACCATTTTAGAATAAAATTAATGTCTTTTTTTATTATTATTATTATTCTAAAACATTGAATTGTTAAAACAAATTAATGTTTGAAAACACAACTAATTAGTATTCTAACATAATGGAGATCTTTGAGGAATGCCTTTTCTTCTACTTATACTAGTAGCCATATCTTCTTCTGTTATGTTGTTACAATTATTAGCTGATCTTCCACAAACATGCATTCCACTTCTCTTCTTCCTTACAAACTCAGTGCATGGAAAACTCATGTTTTCTGATCCCGAGCCCGTGGACGATGATGAGCTCCATGGCTCGTCATTGTCCACGATCGTTGAATGAGCTGTGTCGATGGCCATGTCATCGTCACCCATATCTTGAGGGATAAAGAAGTCAGAACTAAGTTGTAGAATTGTGCATCTTCTTAGAAATGGGGAAAGGTCCTTGTGGTGCTTTAGCACAAAATCTACCTGATAATGTCAAAGCAAAAATTATTGTCAACCAATAACTTATTTCACTGATCGATATAACGAAAGTCATTTTCTAGTTTTTGGTTAGCTTATGATCAAAATTGCGAAAATTATTTCATTTTATTAATCTTTACTACCCAAAATTTTCATATGTTAAACTTGCGTTCAAACTCACCAACACCAATTCTTTTTTTAAAATTTTCCATGAAAAAAAATGTCTTTAATTGTAGTAAACACACATTTAATCATACTTGATGTTTGCAGGAAATCAAGTAAAGTGTAATTATCATATAGTTTGAGATTGCATATATAAATTTTGATCATATTTATTAGGAATCAACTATGATAAGAATATGATTAATTAAGTAGATATGAGTACTTAAGAGGTCGTTTGGTAGCTGGATGAGAAACAAATTGTATATGTATTAGTTTTCGTATAACTTATATGACGTTTGGTAGGTAAATGGTAAATTAGTTATTCATTTATAAAATTGATATAATGTTTGGTTGATAATTTAGAAACCTACATAACTATTGAATGAGTTTTGATAGAATATATATATCATTTTATGAAGGATAAAAGGTGGAATAACTAATACATGTATATATAAAACAAGACATAAATTCACTCAATAACTATTTCTACCATACTAATACATTCATAATTCTAACCAGCTACGGATTCAAAACAAAAAAAAAATTCTCAAAGTTAAAAGAGAATTACCTTGCATCCAAGAGAGCAATGAATAAATGGTTCTTGAAGACTCCTATCACAAGAAGTGCAATAGTTTCCTCCTTTGAATTGCCTATTTTGAGGCCTCTTCTTGATAAAAACCACTTTAGCATTGTTTATTGTATATGCCTAACAAAATTATAAACAATTAAACATCGTTATTTTTATTTTTATTAATAGAAAAGCCAACAATCAAGAACATTATATTGTTGGCAAAAGTAAGTACAATAAATAAAGCAATTTACTATTAGAAAATCGCTAATTTTCAATGGACGTCCTTTCAGAATTTGACTCATTATAGAAAGGAAAAGTCATGAAACGTTACCGACAAGCCAAATTTCCATTACAGATTAGCGATTTTTTCTGATAATATTTATCTTTTAAATGAATAACGTACCTGGATATTGGAGCAATCAATAAGGTTTTCTATATCTTCTAATCGAACAACCTCATGATATACATAGCGTCTAATTTGAAGCAATCTATGGACACGATGAGAAGTGACACAATGAGGACAAATACTAATATTACAATCCAAACAACAAACATTCTTCTCATTCTTCTTTGCACTTTCATGAATTGAACATGGCACAAAGAATTTCTCCACATAAAGAGCCTTCAACCATGATGGCTTTTGAATTCCCTATATACACAAAAACATAATCAATTAGTAGATGTTGATATACTAATTAATAAGAAACTTAAGTATTGTTTTGTTGAAGGAACAATTCAATCACATAGAAGATGGAGAAATGGAACTAAAGCTTACCATAATCACATAAACAATTATTCTCTCAAGATAGTCGTAGAAATCCAAAAACTTTAAATTCTGAATCTGTCGTTATTTAATACTCAAAGCACTTAGACCAATGGACATGAATATCTAAGGTTTGATTGGAGAAAGAGGGGAACTATAGTATGGAACTAATGATATTGTGTATTTAAGGAGAATCACAAGACATCAGAGAAAATGGAAAATATATTAATTAATTATTCATTGGGTACATACACACAACATTTTGTCTCTGAGCTTAATTATAATTTATACTATAACGTTTAACTTTTTTATATACTTGCAATGTAGAATCTTTACTTATAACAATAAAGATCATTGAAAAGATAACTAAAACTATTTAAAATAATAAGTACTAACCTTAATAAGATAAGGTAGACAACATATTACAACAAATTAAATTGTATTAATTGTGTAAAAACTTAATTAGCTATCATATGTTAAAAAGTATTTTAAATTAACATTTAGAGAGACAAAAAAAAGAGTAAGATAAGAGAACATGGACTCTGTTCCCCCATATATGAATATACAAAATTTTCTCTATCTCCTTTTCCTTGTGTTGAGAGCTAATAAAACCCTAAACTAAAGGAGTTCTTCTTGAATCTTGCAATTTATTTATTTGTCTTTTGATTCTTGTATCTTTATTATCTTTGGTCTATCTAATAAATAATAGTTCAGATACGAAACGTACACATATTTGATAATTTAATTATAAAATTATTTTTAAAAAAATTAAAATATTTTTAATGTATTTTTAACTGTAAATCACCGATCTACGAAACTTGAGTAGTTTTAAGAAGTAATCAAGCAAAGGCAAGACATGTAGGAGGGAATTCAGATTATGGGAAGTTAACATGCCAACACAACAATCAACAACAACTCCACTAATGAATAAGTAATTTAATTTGTTTAGAATTAATGGTATGGGCTTAAATTGAGAGAGGAAAACAAGTCATGTAGCACTAGTAAGACAAATTAATGACATGATTAATTAATGTGTACTCTTATTTGCTAATTTTGAGAAACAATGTTGTTTATTGCACCATTATGCTTTAATCAAGATATTATCTTGGAGATTGAAAACTTTACAGCAAAGTAAAAGAAAAAAAAACCTTAGTCCACCCTATTTACTTTTCATTTTGTTTTTCCTCATAAAATGAAAAATAAATAAATTGAAAATTGGATATCAAATTTGGAGTTGGCGAAATTTCTTAGTAACTTCTAGTGATACATTAGAATTGTGACGAATGTCTTCCTAAATTACCACACAATTTTGTACTAAAAATCCCAGTGATTCACCGGGATTTATGATAATCAGAAATTTCTAACATTTCAATTTTGTGACAAGTTCATTCATCAAAAACTTCAGATGATCGTTTAAAATTTATGAAGGATTCAATTTATATAAAATCTTCATCATAAATTATAACTAGACATTTTTTTTTATAATTCGTCAAGAATTGAACTCCTACTTCTAACACGTAAATGATCCTATTCTTCCACAATATATTAAACGAGATCAAAGTTAATCCTATTTGTGGAAAAATTTACCATATGTTATAACATTTCATCCCTCCACCCCCCTTATAATTGAATTTGCATTGCAAAAAAAAAAATTAAATCCAAATATACCTTTAAACTTTGCAAATTAGTCAATCATTTCATGCCATTCGTAAAAAGTTCAATAAGAAATATGATCAGGGATCATTTGATAGTCAGTTAGAATTATGCGTGTATATAAAGTAATGTATGATTTGGTTATGCGGAATTTAGTTATTCATATAGCTTCTTCTGCATAAAACAATTAGTACATTCCCTCAGAACTCATTTCATATATTAGTTGAGCGAATTTTTTAATAATAAACTAAACACTGTATTACTTTTTTCATGATTACATCAAGATGTTTTATACAAAATTTTATTCAACTCATCTTCAAATCAGCTGTCAAAAACCCGGTTAGGTGGTCAAATAAAAGGTCAAAGTTTGAGAGAGGAACAAAAAGGATGAATCAGCTATTGAGGCACACGAGGGCAGATCTCTGTGTTTTGTTGAGTTCAAAAAAAACATACTGAGTATTTAAATTGACTTCTCCACATGATGAGGCTCTTATTTCTACATCATTTTTAACTTTCTTCCTATTATACTATTCTTATGGCGGTGCAACTTGTAGATAAAACATAATAAAAAGGACAAACAAAAGTTTTTAGTGAGTTTAAAGTTCAAATAACTTTACACATAAAAGGTATCTGAATTTAATATTTTCGATATTGTATGTGTGAATTTATAAAATGTGATCTATCAATGCCAAAAGTCATAATTATTGGAACCATAAAATTAAATATTGAATTTGTCTATACAAGTTTAAAGTTAGATTTGCGAATGAATTTGTTTAAGCAATTCAAATTTTGAATATTTATATCTGAAGTTAAACTTGATTATCACCAATTTTAGACATTTTATATTCGTAATCGAAATTATCAAGCCTACTTTAATAACTTTGAAAGTCACTTTCAATATGAAATTGGGCTGGGCCACTTCCTTTTAGAAAATGGACCATGTAATGTGTCTGACAGGAGTGGCCCATTAACCAGGAAATTATGGGTCAAATTCACATATAGGTATGTCTTGATCTTTTGGCCATTTTTTTAAAAAGTAGCCTTCACTTTAGAAAATTTATGAAGCAACTACTTATTTCAAAAAATTTATGAACTAATACATACTAAAAAAAATTAAGATGATTCTGATTTTTCTATGCATGAACCAAAAACTCGAGGGAAAAGGCGATGTCGATCCTTAAAGAAACAATGAGTCGCTTCATATGAATCCACAAATTTGAGATCAAACACAGTCAAAAAGATATAATCTTAAAAAACTTATGGACTAATACACATGAAAATCTTAGATAATCTTGAATTCTTATTTCATCATTCCGAAACTCCCTAAAAAGTGATGTGAGTACTTGAGTAACAATAAATATCGTTCACTAGATCGTTACAAATGAACCCACAAAATTTAGTGTCAAACGAAAAACGATCTGTTATTTGAAAATCTAATGAACAAATACACAAAAAAAAGATGAAATAATCTTGAATTATTGTTTCACGACCCGAAAAGTCCAAAAAATAAAAGGTGACATCAATCCTTAAAACCAATGAATATAAGTTTACTAGGTTGTATTTACAAAAATTGAAGTCAAACGAAGTTGAAAATTAGTTCACCAATTGGTGAGATTAATTAATACACCCAAATTCTATTTCTAAAATTATTAACTTTGTATGTTAGTGTTCAATTAGTTCATTCAAGTGGAAACCAACTATTTTTCCACATTAGATTGCTTAGTTGCTGTTTTTTATTGTCGAAACATTCCTAAAACATGTCCCAAAATAATTACTGTTAAGTGGTCCAATTTTTTTTTAATCAATTCCTAGGGGAAAAAACATTGGTTCTTTGTCTGCTGATAATTGATTAATAACATATTAATATCCAAATCGATATATCTTTTTTTAATTATTATTATCCGATATTTGATATTCGTATTAAAATTTGATTAAATTTGAATTCGTATTGAACTGTCCCACATTAGTTGTTTTCTAATAAAAGCGATTTCATATCAAGAGGGACTCAATTATTCAAATCTGAAATCTCTAATTAAGAATGAAAGAGCAATTGTCAGTCTCTCACGACTCATATTTATTTTATTGTCGATTAATTAAAAATGAAAGAGTGTACATCCATGATGTCATGATTTGATTAATCATGAAAATTGGGAAATATTTGTACAATTTATTTATCTATATATCTGCCAAAGAAGAATAAAGATATCTCCAATTTTTTTGATTTCAAATATTTGCATGTGCTAGAAGTTGATCCATCAAATCCTAGCTATATCTTGGCAAATCAAAGAGACAATTGAAAGATTGACACAAATTGTGCTATGATTACATGTTTGAAAAAAAAAGGACAAAAGGTAGAGTTCTTTAAAATAAATAGAAATTATTATTGATAGCTAACTTATTTTTTCTAATACATGATTAAACAAGATTATGATAGAAGTTGTTAAAAAAAATTATAAATTATGTATGTGAATTAGATTCTTACTATCTCTTTCTTTCCTCCATGTAATATAGAATATAAAAAATTAGACCTTGTTACACAAATACTTAATTATATAACTTTTTTTTTTTTGCCAATTTGTAGCTATATATAATTCCACTTGAAAGCTAATATAAGTTTTAGTTTACTTAGTTTAGGAGTAGACAAACTAACAAGGGAAACACACCATAATCTTAGCAACTAGTAAATGTTGGGTTAGTTGTTAGTGATGGAAATAGTATAAAAGAAAGAGATACACTATTTACATTTTTTTTCCATTTCCAATGAGTTGTCATATTAAGATATTACTATTAATTATTAATTTCACGATTTAAATTAGTGACCTATATAGGTCTTAGTTACTCTAGCGCTCTTATTTTGACGTATACTTGTTAAACAATTAATATCTAGTAAAAATTACATATAATGTTAAAGAGCTTAAGTTATATATATATTATAAGTGTAGTGATGATTTATATTATTATGTAACTTTTATTTGTCGTAGTAGTTAGATGACTTATCTTTATTTTAAGATTACAAATTTCACACTTTAAGAAGTCTAATGTGTAAATATCTTTTCTGATAGTGTATAATATATGTCTTATAGTGATGACATATAAAACTTAAATTTGTACTTCAAAAGGAAAGCAAAACGCTTCTTATCAATCGACTTCATATCTACAATTTAACTTCGAAAATAGTGACATATTAAATAAACTTGGTGATCCGTGTATATAAACCTTAATAAAATAGTGACATATTAAATAAACTTTTTCATGGTCCCCTAGAACTAGACTTTTGATTTCCTTAATTTTATGTATGTATGTATATATATTAAACCAAAACCCCCATTTGTTGTCACTCACCATTCAACTCCAATATATATCTTAAATATTTGAAGTTAGAAACTCATTATTTCTTCTATATATTCCTCAAGAAAGTTCCAATTCTATCAACTTTTGCTAATCATTATATCCTCATCATCCAAAAATAAATAATCTCTTTTACACCATTCTAGATATGAAGCAAGTAATACTACTTATATTTCTACTTTATTTATCCACTCTAATCCATGAAGCACAAGGTAGACACTTGAAGAAAGGGCATAAATTACAGGTGAGAATATACACAACATTTTCTTTTAGAATTCTAGTGCTTATATTTTCGAGTTCTCCGATTATTTCGTTTAAAAGCTTAAACATGCATGTCTCGTCACGTGCTTAATTTTTCTTTATGTTTTAATCAAACATGTAACATAAAGAAGCTACTTTCGCTATGGTTTTTACATCGAGGTGTATATAAAATGTTAATCGTGAGGCTAGTGGTGGAACTTACGAATTTAACAAAACTCAATAGGTAGATTAGTCTAAAAATCCTCATTTCTGTTAAATAAAATCATTTAATATGTATAAGTAACTATAACGAACAAGTAAGTAAAAGAAAATTGTGTTTCAGAACGTATAAATTAAAAATACTGACTATATTTGTCTTTATCTATGATTATTTTATCTAGAAGCTTAAGAGAAAATATAATTTTTTACTTAATTATTATATAATTAATATGTCTTAATAATTTTTATTTTTTTTACTATGCAGGAAAAAACTAATTTGATAGGAAGTAGTAAAGGAGTTATTGGAGAAGTTAGTACTCTTTGCAAAGATGGCCATTGTTCATCATTCACCACAAAAGGAAGACTTACAAAAGTAGCCAAAAAATCACACCATTGGTTACCAAATATTCATGAAGATTATTATGGCCCAAGAGGACATAGACCTAGACACCATTAAATAATTTACAAAAATAGCCTAATTTTTTCTTTCTTGTAGCTAGCTAGCATATTAATTAATATTCCTCATATTTTTTTGTTTTCTTGTAGAACTTGAAAATTCTTAGGAATTTTAATTAGGAGCATCATTTATAAAAACAAAAATTAATTATGTCTATGTAACATTCTACAAAAGCAATTTTGTAGCTTCCCTCTAACATTAATACTTAAAGTTTGCTCAAATTGCTTCAAATTTAATGGATTTTCATTATGTTTTATTTATTTATTTAAGTAGTTCTTGATCAATATTTTTTGACATAATTAAATATGAAAATTATGATAAAAATCACCTCTACTTCTACCACAACTCCATAATTTTTAAGGATGTTATGTGTGGATTAGTTGTACATTACGAAATTTGTATCTTACAATAGGAAAACGAGCTTTTAAGTGGAGAAAATTAAAGAGATTGATTCATTATTTCCCAAATTTTAAATCGTTAGGACAATCTCAACAAGATTTGAGCCTAAATCAAACTTTATTAGAGAGATCTTTATTTTATTTTATTTTTCCTAGTTGACATGTATAAATTGAATAACAATAGCATATTCGATGTAATCATATATAAATGAGATAACAAAATAGATAAACACATAAATATTATAAAATGAAAAAAATAAAAGATAATTATTAAAAGATTAAAAAAGAAAAAAGTAATTGGAGGAGCTGCGACAATGTACAGAAATGCTGCCCTTCTTTTAGGAGGAATATTTTTGTAACATATAAATACCATGAACTATACTCTTATATTATTAATTATTATTATTATTATTAATACATTGATGATTGAGTCATAATCACTTTTTTTGTTAGGTGTGGGGTGGAGGGGGGGTGGGGTTGGGGTGGATGTCATGCTCTTATACTATTGTTTGTGACACTATTATAGCCACTTTTGCGACTTCGAGGTTTACTTTATCTTAGTCTAGCTTGGTTTAACTCAAGTATCGTCTATTTATTAATTCAATCTATTTGACATTTTAAAATTTAATTAAATTCACTCATTTGATATCTTTTATTGTTTGCTTAAAAAAGGCGTAAAATGATCATTTTTTGTGACTCATTTTTTTGTTCCAATTTATATGAATCATTTATCTTTTTAATCAATTTTTTTAATGATATGTTTCTATATTTAATAATAAATTAAATTTTACTCTTAATAAAATAATTTATACTCATATAAATATTTATCAATTTTCTTAAACCGCAAATTTCAAAATAGAAATAAATTAAAACTCTCTATAAAATCAAAATAAATCATATAAAATAAAACGGAGGGAATCATGTCTTACATATATTCCTGTATTTTCAATTTTTGTAAGAATTATATCAATGTTCAACAACACAACTATTTTTGGTATAAAAAGAAGAAGAGACCATAGGCAAGTTTTGTATATAGAAAATAGGCAAGATGATGAAAGACACCAAATAATATGTGATAGAAAACCTAAAAATCCAAAAGGGTTCACAAAATAAATAAATGAAATTATATAAAAACTCTATTTTTTTGGTTTGATATTCTAGCTTCTTTTTTTTTATATATATATATATTTGGTTATAAATACACCAAAATAATTGGACAAAAATTGGGCCACGTCAAGTTCCATCAACTACATTTTCCACCATTCACCCCAATTTAATGCAACAAAAAGAGATTCTTCTAACATCAATAAATGGACTAACTAAATTCCCATAGCAATGGAAAATCCTTGATTTGGACTTTGCTTCTAATTGGGAAAAATAAATCAAAATATATCTAAGCTTAATGAATTAAGTAGAATGGTATTTTTAAAATTGTTAATAATTTGAGAATAAAATTAATAATTCATGTTGAAGTTATGGATATTTCAGTACTTCTCTTAGAAAAAATATTATGTAACATTACTTAACAGAAACTAATGAAAACATAGATGATAGAGTTCGATGTATAAAGGTCACGCGACTCATTTGTTGTGTAGTCTACGATAGTTGAGATACAATTATACATTAAATTACATAAAATACTAGTATAAATTAGTTTTTTATACATAATTTTAATTGCAATTTAGAAAAAAATGTTTTGATTCCTCAAAATAATAATTAAATCATTTTTTAAGAAAATGGAAAGAGAGAAAGAAATCAACATCTTTCTTTTAGTCTTTGTTGTGTGGATATCAATCAAAACATACTAGGCTATGGATCATCTAACATGACAAAAAGTCTTTTTGTTTTTCCTATTTTTCAAAGATAATATTTTGTAAAAAAAAAAAAATATTTCGTGTTCGATATTTATTTTAATTGAACTAATTTGAATTAGCATAAAAAGTTCACACAATAAAGGGCAAATATTTCACATCAAAGATAATTCACTCTAAAATTCTAATTCGTAATTTCTAATTAAGAATAAAAAAATACTTAATTTATCACAATTTTTAGGGGATAATGCACAAGTATCGCTCAATCTATGCCCGAAATCTCAGAGACACACTTATACTATACTAAGGTGCTATTATCCCTGAACTTATTTTATTAATAATTTTCTATCCCTTTTTGACCTACGTGGCACTATCTTGTGGGTCCAACGCTGATTGACTTTTATTTTCAAGCTAGTGCCACGTAGGCCGAAAAGGGATAGAAAATTACTTATAAAATAAGTTCAGGGGATAATAGGACCTTAGTATAGTATAAGTGCGTCTCTGAGATTTCTGTCCTAGGTTGAGGGGTTCTTGTGCATTTTTTCTAATTTTTAGTTTATTTTTGTTTCACTCGATGTTCATTCCCCGAAATATAGTCACAAATTAAATTCAATTTTCGCTTTTAAAAATCTCATATTTTAATTATAAAGTACTCCATAATTATGATAATTTCATATCCAAAACTCAATATATGAGATTTATATCTTGAAATTAAAGAAATATTTAATACTCCATCGCGATCTCAAATGTTGTTTCAAAGATTAGAATAATAAAGTGCATCACTATCTTTTCCTTTATGGTTACAAAAATATCTAATGTCATTTTCTTGCATCATCAAAAGAAAAAAAAAATCAATATCATAATCTCTTCCTTTTTACTTATACCAAAACCACAGTTATAAAAAAAGCAACACATAAATGACTAATTACATCACTTTATATAAAATGCATAATTACATCACTTTCCAAATTCTTGGCCCAATAAATATATAAAAAAATCCATGTATAAATATGGAGAAAATCTTTATGTTACATCATATCTAATTGCTTTCACACTGACTAATTAGCAAACTTTGACTCTTAATTAATCATTTTTACTTTTAATAAGGGCAACATTACTTGTCTTCAACAGCTTTACTATTTTTCATTTTGATAAATATAAATTTAAAGTAACATGAGTTGTGTATATGTATCAACTTTTCTACTTTCACGTTACTCTTACTTAGGTTGATAATTTATAAGTTTATAATTATTTCGTATTAAGAAAAGAGGGAGAAAATAATTATTGAACTTAATTCAGGCAATGAACTAGTTCACGTACTAAATTCGATCATGTGAAAATCATATATGGCGATAACGATATATAAAATACATATTACACTTTGTTTATGTGAATTTTCTAAAACCATTGAACATGCTTATAGCTATATATACGTACACGAGATTTAACAAAAGCGCAATATAAATTATACGTCAAAATCTAATAATACTATAAACTTATACCTTATTTAATCTCAAAAATCGACTCAAACATTAAATAATTTATTCCAAACGAAAAAATAATATTAAGGGAATGCTAGAATAATTATATAGTACTACTTTTTTATATATATATGTAAATTTGATTTGTCAAAGCTCTCTTTTTTTTTTTGACACGTTTATTCTGTGGAGATAAATATGGCACTAATTATTTATGAATAATAATAATATGTTGACAATCACTCAATTGAAAAACTAAAAAAAATATTATATGGAATTTATTATTACCACGTGTTTCATATATCATAGATGTATATCATTAAGTTAGGTATACCATTCCTTTACTCTTTTTCCCCACTTCTTTTTTATTTATTTTTTATTTTCTACTCTTTCATTTGCATTAATTTAATTTTTATATACAAAAAAAAACAATATACTTAAACATGTGTTCTGTTATTTTTATTTGATATACTTTTTCCAATAGATGTTTGGTTCATGATATTTAAAGTGGAATCAATGAGTCATTTCCTTGCTCTTTTATCAATCAAAGAATTACCTCTTGTGTAACTCTTAAGTATGTTGATGGTAAATTTAAATAGGGTAGCGTAATTTTATAAGTAGAGTCTAAAAAAATAAAATATATGTAAAACAATTTCTATTTTATGAAAGTGAAGAGTTCAGCAAAATAAAATTGTTCAAAAGAAAAATAACTAAGGACTTAGTATTAAATAAAACAATAAGTATAATTATACACTAATATAATTAGAAGTTTAGACTTAATCAACTAAATTTACTCTTCTTTAAGTGATTAATGAATTTTAATAAATATTAAATCACACATTAGCATGATATATAAAGATAAATCCTTAGTAAATTTCTTTTGTCCTTCTATTTCTTTTCTAAGTTTTGATAATGAATCATTATATTCGTATAATATATAAATAGACACTCAAATATGATCTTTAAGTGACTAGTAAATATTTTAATTAGTCTTCAGACTGTCAATTAAATATTATATTTTACTATATAATTATTTTGACACTTTCAAAATTTAGGTATCACGTTCATCATCAGATATTCACAAAATACTAATAAATCAAAATAAATATCTAAATATATATTTTCAAAATATATTTAATCACCCATCCGTTCAAAAAATAATGACATTCTTTTCCTTTGGTTTGTTTAAAAAATAATGATTTTTTTTCTTTTTTTGATAATATTTTAATTTCAGCTTTTTACTTGACATGTTTAAGGCCACAAGATCAAAGAGTTATTTTGTACATTTGACCTAATTTTAATTTAAGACCACAAAATTTAAAAATCAAATCATTCTTTATTAAACGGAAGGATTATTAGTTAATGTCAAATTTAACTTATTATATACCCACCAGCACCCCCAAAGCTTCCCATAAAGTAATAAAAAGTATACTAAACCAATAAAAATTAAAAGAGGAAAAAAGTAATTACACCTAAAAACCTCAAAAAACAAATAGAGAAGCCTCTGTTACATTGCTTTTCACAGTAATACACCCCACTTTTTTTTAATTGAAAATAATAATAATTCTGGAAACTTCTCAAGTTTTCATTGTCTCTCTTCTATATTGTATATTGTATATATGTATTTATATACATTATATTATACAGAGTTTATATATAATCTTTGATTTATCAATTTTCATCTGACCCCTTTACATATTCCAAGAATCATCTCATCAAAATTTCAATTCTTGATATTCTCTATTCCTTCACAAAGCTTTCAGCAAACTTTTTTATCACCTAACAACTTGCAGAAAATAAAGTGGAAAAAATATATATATATACCATTATTTTTCCTGTTAAAACTGATATTAAACAGTAATGTGTGTGCAAGATTCAGAGGAAGTGAGTGAGGATATGGAGAATTTGGACATTTCCAAGACTGATTGCAGTGAAAAGATCAGATCGTTACAAATAGAAAGTGAATTCTCAAATACCCATAAAGAGAAATTTGAAAAACACTCATCTTCTAGCTATGCTGTGATGAGAAATTCATTCCCAGTAAGGATCTGTTTTGTTAATCATATATATGTTATATAGTAATTTTCAATTTTGTAGGTATTAATGATTTTTTTTTGGATCTCTTTTACCTGTTGGGCGAAGTTTTGTTGGGTTGGGTGGAGTTAGGGCTACAAGGGGTTTCTCTGAATCCATGTTTACACTAAAGATCAATTTTTTTTATTTTTATGTATATATGAAATGAGCTCAAATGAAGAAGTGAGGATTCATATAGCAGATATCTAACTTGTTTGGGATTGAAGCATAGGTGTTGTTGTGTATGTGTGGTAGTTGTTGAATTCCTTGATTTCTTAGTGTGTTTACCTTTCTTATATATGTGTGAGATGAGTTTACATGAAGAAGTGATGATTCATATAGTTGATCTATAACTTGTTTTGGATTGAATCTTAGGTTTTATTGATGTGTTGTATATATGTGGTAGTTGTTGAATTCGTTGATCTCTTCATGTGTTTACTCTTTCTTCATGTATGTATGAGATGAGCTTAAATGAAGAAGTGATGATTCATATTGTCGATCCGTAACTTGTTTGGGATTGAAGCATAGGTATTGTTGTTGTTGATGTTGTTTACATTGGTAGATGTTGAATTCACTTGATTTTACTTTTTTATATTATTAATACTTCTAGTGAAACTCTCGACTCCGCTAGCTAGTTTGCAAATGGATATTGAGAGGTGTTACTTGTTTACCACAACAACACATCCCGTATAATCTCATAAGTGTGACCTGGGTAGGTAGGATGTAACAGACCTTACATCTCTACCTTTGTGCGGTAGAGAGGATGTTTCTGATCTAGGACTTTCCGCTATCTTTTTGGGGTAGAGAGTTTGTTTCTGATGGATGCTTGGCTCAAAGAAAGGGAAAGTTGTTACTTGCTAGTATAGTGTGTTTGGGATCATCAATAAGCTCGCAAGTCATTTTTTATGGTATATGTATATATAGGATTCATATAGTTGATTCAAGCTTATTTTAGATTGAGGTGTACTTGTTATAGTTATGCTTTAGATCTGTTCTTTGGTTTGTAAATTGATGTTGAGGTCAATTTGGGATTTTTAAAAGTAATCTCGCGACATGCCTTTTTTTTTCCTGGTATATGGATATAAAGGGTTCATATATTTGTATAGATTGAGGTGTACTTCTTGCTGTAATTATGCTTTAGAGCTGTTTTTGGATTTGCAAGTGGATGTTAAGAGCTGTTTGTGATAATGAAGTTAGTCAATTTGGGATTTTGTTCAATCATCTTGCAAGATTTGATTTTTCTTCTTCTTTTTAAGGTGTTGTCATTATTGGAGATGTACTTTGATGGAGCAATAATTATGGTGTTCTCAATTATCTTTTGTTATTATGCTGGCTTGTGGCTTTCATGTTCCATTACTATTTTCTACCTCAACATGTCTTTTTCTTGATTTCTCTTTCTCTTTTCCTTTTTGATTTTGTCAACTTTTGTTAGATGGTCTATTTATTAATTATGGGTGTTTTGCTTTTGTAATTTTCACTTCTCGGGATTCTTTCTTCCCGTTAAGCGTGGGATTTGGTAGGGTTTTTTTCATCTGTTTATACAGTGTTATTAGTATTTCTGGTCAAAAGTTATTTTTCATAGATGTAAATTCTTCATGATGATTGTACCTGTGTTGCACGAACTCTTCAAAATACCTTCAGATGTGTGTCGTGTCTTCCAAAAAAAGTGCATTTTTGGATGATCCGACACAGTGCAGCAGCACTTTTGGAAAGTCCGAGAACATAGTTGAGTCGTATCACACCTTCATATCCCTATGCTCCTGTACTGTTTGCTGAAATAACTCTTTTTAGCTTCGTTTCTAAATAGAAAGTTCACTTGAACAGCAGTATAACATTTAAGCTGATTGTGACATGCCTGTGAACTTATTCATTACCTTACAATTAAGTTCTTTCCTTTGTTCTTCAGATGGAAAGTATATCTGAGGATACGACTATTGCAGACCGTCAGCATATACTCTTCAATAAATTCCTCCCAACTCTTAGGTCTGGAGAGTGGTCTGATATTGGAGGCCGTCATGATATGGAAGATACTCATATCTGTATTGCGGACATGGCTAAGAACTTTGGTCATAGTATTAGTGGTGAGGAAGCTATCTCCTTCTATGGAGTAAGTTCTTTAAACTCAGAACATCACGACCATTCGTACTTGAATATTTACTCAATTTACTAGGAATGTGCATTTGTTCTTTGCTCACTTTAAGATTTGTTTGTTGTATTGATAAAAGAATTTCGGTGTAAATGCTATGAAATAGCCGAATCCAGGGGAGATTTAGGACAATGACTAGTTTTGATGTGCAACTAATAATCTCTGCCAAGTTTGAGTGGGGGTGGGGTGAGACTTGAGAGGGTTAGGTATTCCTGCCATTGCAAAATAGCGCAAGATTTGTAATAAAAATCAAATATAACTATGTAAAAAGCATTTGTGATGACTGGTGATCTGGAGTTCTCGAATCTTGCATACCCGATCATGACCCCTGCTCGCATAAAAAAGAAGCCAAACAGATACCATGATTATTTAGAATTGTAGTCCAACCAACCACACCGGAGAATCACAAAAACCATGAGACATTGTAGTTTATACTTGTCACTAATGTTCGAAAATGAAGCTGCTGAGCTCAGTACACTAAGCATATCACCTATGTGGCTGTGTCGCATAGGAGCTCACACTTGGACCTGTAGGTGTACAAGACTTATCTTATTAGTTAGCCATTTAGGACCAAACATGTTGTCTAATACTTTTCTAGTTTTTGATTGAGAATCACTTTTCGCCTTTATATAGAATAGGATTTCCATAGGAGATGGAGGAGAACTCAAAAGATGTAACAAGCCAAACTTTCTACAATTCGTAGCATATGTAGTATTCGATATTCTTCGACCTCTGATGCAAATGGTTTTAGTGACAGGTCTTTGATGGACATGGTGGAAAGGGAGCAGCGCTATTTGTACGCGACAGTCTACCAAGAATCATCGTTGAGGATGCAGATTTCCCTCTGAAGCTAGAAAAAGTGGTGAGTAAATCTTTTTTGGAGACCGATGCTGCTTTTGCCAAGTCATGCTCTCTCGATTCTGCCTTGTCCTCAGGCACAACTGCACTCACTGCTATGATATTTGGAAGGTAACAGTCCCTGCATATTGACCTCGTCATACTTCACTATTTTCTCTTCATCCTGTCTTCTCATTTATAATCCAATACCTCGTTGCTCGGACCCTCCAAAATGCTGCCGCACCCATGTTGGATCCTCCAAATATGCATAGTTTTGGAGGATCCAATACACAATCGACTGTATTTTTGAAGAGTCTGAGCAACGTAGGTTCAATCAACCAGCATGTTGTCTTAGTATTTTTGAAGCTTTCTTTAGTTTGTTAGTAATACCGGGAACCATATTACATATCCAAGTAAATACCGCTAACTCCATAGGCTGACTTGTTTAGTTATATAGTTCTTCAAGTAGGGAATTCTGTTGGTCTCGTTCATTCTTTATCCTTACAAATATATCTTCATTGAACTACATTGGGAGATCAGTGTCTAGTATTAGTTCTTATCTTTCTGTACTATTATCTGATTGGCAGATCATTGCTCGTGGCAAATGCTGGCGACTGTCGAGCTGTTCTCTCTCGAGGTGGACTGGCTATAGAAATGTCAAAGGATCACAGACCTTGTTGTGTCAATGAAAGAACACGTGTGGAGTCCTTGGGTGGATTTGTCGATGATGGCTATTTGAATGGACAGTTGGGTGTGACCCGAGCACTGGGTAACTGGCACATTAAGGGACTGAAGGAAGCTGACAAAGGTGGTCCATTGAGTGCTGAACCTGAACTAAAGCTGCTTACGCTGACTAAGGAGGACGAGTTTCTGATCATTGGCAGTGATGGAATATGGGACGTATTCAGAAACCAAAACGCAGTGGATTTTGCCCGGAGGAGACTACAAGAACACAACAATGTAAAATTATGCTGCAAGGAAATAGTAGATGAGGCCAAAAAACGCGGTGCCATAGACAACTTAACAGTAGTCATGGTATGTTTTCACTCCGAGCCACCACCACCTGTCGTATTCCAAAGATCAAGAATCAGGAAGTGTATCTCTGCCGAGGGGCTTCAGAATCTGAAATCTTTACTCGAAGGGTAGAGCTATCGCGTACAACAAATCAACCTAGGCAACAGTTGAGAACGAATTCGACTTTGTAAATATATTTCTGAGGTAGGATTTGTTCTTCCTTGTAATGTTCCTATTTAGAACTGAAGCAGATGGAATAAAAGCTTGATGGAGAAATGAGCAAGCCATTGAACCAAAAAATTGTAAATAATTCATTCTTCAATTGTATGCACCCTTTACTACAAGGGCACACAATTAAAATTCATCTTCTGGTAGCATAAACATTAGATTATCATTGAATAATATATAGCTATATACTACTTTATTATTAAAGTAATTGTATGTTTCTAGCTTTGTGTTGGATGTCAGTTCATCACAATCGGTTAATGTAGTTGACCTTAACTTGTTTGAAACACGAAATATTTCGTTGGTAATGACCTTAATATATGACTCATACTTTCTGCTGTATTGGGGTATGTGCGTGTGTGATCCTCCGAAAAGTACTTTTTGCACATGGTGTAGCAATATTTTTTTTGGAGAATTCGAGCAACATTACAGTAATCGGTTTACATGCTCATCATCAGCAATCATCTTTGACCATGTGCCTTCTTTCTCTCCTCTCATAGATTCTTGAATCTCCGACGGTTAAAATCTCCATGCATGCATTCTCTCTCCTCCTCTTACAGATTCTGGAATCTTCAATAGACAGAATCTCCATACATGTCTTTCACAAGCACAACAGATCACAATTGAATGTAGCAACATGCAAAGTAAGAAAATGGTATATACCAGCAACTATTGAGGTTTCAGATCATACATCAACATAAATTTCTTTCATTAATATGTTTCAACAGAACAGCAACACATCCATCTCATGCTACAAGAAACGCGAAAAGGCACCAAAATGATACTCTTGTCAGTTGAATAGTACAGAGTAATATAACAAGTATTCACTGTTCTGTGAAATGTGTATCGATAAAAATGAGATATCCAAAAAAGGACATACAAGAATAACAGCTTCGCGAGTCTACTGTTGAACTCTTCTATAGAGATCTTTAAGTATCTATACAAAAGAATAGGAGCTTCTGCACTACTTCAAAGGTTCAAATCCAGAACCATTTTCATTTTCAAAAAGGGGTATTCGTAGCTTTGCCTTCGAGAGGTTCTGAATCACCTTTTAAACGCGCTGATCCAAAGCCATTTGCCTTCGTTCAGCTTACCTTTAATCTCATTTTTCACGATAGGGATTAAAAATAGGCTTGCAATGAATATTGAAAGAACTAGCATAACAAATACACTGTTCCATCCTCTTGTTGAAATATATCCAGCTAAAAGGGGCCCGAGAGCTGCCCCTACTGAACCAGTACCATCTATAATTGCACTCACCGTAGCTAATGCACGAGAGTTCCCCTTTATCAGGCTCTGAGTACCAAGATCTGCTGAAACTGCTGTGGTGATAAGGGAGTAAGGACCATTGACAAGTGCACCAGAAATGAGCATCAAAGCAATGTTGGTAAACATAGATACACTTCCATATACGCGATAGAAAAGAAGAGAAGGTATTGATAACAACAAGAACACAATGGAAGTAACCCCACGAGCTTCAATTATATCGGATGTAACTCCTGCCAAAACCCCTCCAATGACTCCTCCAATATCAAAAACTGTCGAAAGGATCCCAGCATTTTTGTGAGACAGCTGCACACCAGCAACAACTGCAACAACAACAAAATTTCAAGCATGCAACCCATGGTAGGAGTGGCTCAAACAAAGATTAAATTTTTTACACAACCGGACATCAGGACAAATGTTTGTTTGGGTCATCAACATAGAACAGGGAGTACTTCACTCATAAACAAAGAAATTACAGGTTAATAGTTATACTAAATCAGCAGATTAAGATCTAATTTTGAACATCATAAATGTTTCAAGTGCCAAACCGAAAGCTTTGCGACCTCAATTCTCATTCTAGCAGAAGTAAATGAACACACTGTCGAATGCAACAACCATATGTGTCTCCCAACTCTCAACCACTCCAATGTAAGAGCAAAGTAACAAGTTCCAATCATTCAAGTCAAGTTATTCATACAGAACTTAGGACGGCAGTGTTTTACAACTAGCAAAATAAAAGGGAACAATCCTAAACTCAATCACATAACACAAAAGAAGTAGTTTTCCCAGAAAAAGTTCCGCGAAGTAAGTACCTGTTTGCCTCAAGTAGAAGGGCAACCAATACAAAAATGTGTAAGCCACTAGCTTGGAGAAAAACAAGCAGAACGCAAATGGTGCCACGCCTGGTAACCTCCAGGCTTGTAAGAACCCGATAGCACCAGCACCCTCCATTTCGGGTTCCACAAATCCCTCCTCTTCCACTTCACCCGTCTCTGAGCCCACCAATGCAACTCCCTCCACATTCATCTCAATCTCCTTCGAGGTCAATTCAAGACCAATGTGATCAGGGCTCACTACAAGAAACAAGTAAACCAAAGCTGCCACAACCAAAATGAATAAGCCAGGCAATACAAAAGACCAACCCCAACCAAAACTCAACACAGATGAGGCAGCTAGAGAACCTATAATATTACCAATAGAGGTATTTGAATTCCAAACTCCCATTATCAAACCCCTCTTAGCCTTCCCAAACCAATTTCCCATCACAGCCACAACACAAGGCCACCCAATAGACTGAAAAAGTCCACACAAAATTTGAACAATTAAGAAAAAACCAAGCCAATGCACATCAAGAAAATAACCTAAACCAAAAGCAATCACCAAAACCCCACTACCCAACATTCCAACAGTCAAAAAAATCCTCAAATCAATATTATCACCAATATGACCAGCAAAATACATCCCAATTGAATATGCTAACAAGAATGCAAGATCAAGCTCCCCTAAACGATGTGGCCCACTAGCACCTTCAAATGGGGCCCATCCAGTTGCAACAATGGTGCTATCTGTACCATTTAGAGCTTTGATCTCAGGACCAAGAACTGATTTTACTATACTTGGTGGTTTCCTAGAGGCATGAAAAGCTGCATATGCTATAAAAGTAAGGAATAGGACCAAAAATTTGTGGAAAGTTAGAGTCTTTTCTGGTGGATTGAGTGTTGGGAAGAGATTGTGACCTGGTGGTGGCTTTATAGGTGGAACTGAATTAAGGGGTTTGAGTTCCATCATGTTTTTACAATCTCATACAAACAAAATCAAATCTTCGTATGTAATTTGAGTCAATCTGTATTCAAAATCAAATCTTTGTATGTAATTTGAGTCAATCTGTATTCAAAATCAAATCTTTGTATGTAATTTGAGTCAATCTGTATATGGGGTTTATGTATAGACCAAAATTTACTGAGAAAGAAGAACAAGAACAAGAAATTATCCAATGGGATTTTGAATTTTCCTCTTCTTTTTAAAATGTTTGTTCAGATCTAAACATTCTAAATTAGTCTATGTCTTACAAATTAAGGAAACAAAGAATTTGGGAGTTTTGACTGTCTGCCCGGGAACCTCCCAGGAAATGGCGAAATGCAAATCACACCCCACCCCCACTACTCCCACCCACCCTAAATCCACCTTGCTTTTTTTTTTTCATAAAAAAAATAATAATTACGAAAATACACAATTTATTTTAGAAAAAATTGTACGTAATAATAAACTATTAATTCAAATTAAATGCTACAGATATACTATTGTTACTTTTGCCTCTCTCCCTCATGTAATCTTGCTCGTTACTCTCGTTTAGTTGCAGTCTCGCTCGCTTCTCTGCTTTTATACAAATAAAAATGTATAAAATGTGTTTGTTTTTGTATAAAGCGAGAGTAGATTGTATATATACATATATTTTCGTTCCCCTCTTTCAGATCTCGCTCGCCTTCCTCGCTTATACAAATAGAAATGAAATGTATAAATTGTGTTTCTGTTTGTATAAAGTGAGTGAAAATTGTATACACATATGCAAATACATATATCTTCGTCCTATACACTTATAATTATACAAAACAAATATTCACCTTTCTCGTTTTCTTTTGTGTTTCTCTCTTTCTGAAATTATACATATACAAATTATACAATTGATCTTTTGTATATAATTGTTTCTTTTTGTATATGTATAATGAATTATATAACTGATTTTTTACATGTATATCAAATTATACAACTGCTTTCTTTTTCGCATACGTATAGCGAAATATACATATTTATGTTTGTTATGGAGCGTAATTATGCAAACTATAGTTATAGTGTATACAAATATGATTTTTATGTTTGCTATATGTGAAAGTTACTATTTATTTTATTATATATTTAAATTTTTCTACTATTTGAAAAAATACAAAAGATCTCACTTCATCTATTTTCAGATATATCACTCTTATACGATCTACCGGGACAGGAATGTCTTGTATTAGTAAAAGTTATGTATCTAAATTTTTGAACGATTTATTGAGACGTGTGTTGCATCAACAAAGGCAATGTAATGGGACATGATGTATCCGACGTTGAATGATATATTTGAAATCAGTATGTGATATATTGGAAAACGTTGAGTGATGCATATAAAATCCGTAAATGTTAAGAGATTTTATAATTTGAAAAAGAGTAGAAATACAACGTAATTATCATTTAACTTATGAAATTTGTATGAAATGTACTTGTTCTATTTTTGTATTTATACTTTTATTACCTTTTTATATTTGTTTTGAAGTTTGAATATTGGTTTAAAGTACAATTATATGAGATCAAAACTTGTGACTTTTTTAATAGTCAAATGAGTTCAAATATTAATTTCTTAATTTAAAAGTAATTAGTCCTTAAGATTGGTTATGAATTACTTCCTCCGTTTAATTTTATTTGTCATATTTAGATTTGATATATTTGTTAATTTTATTTGCACATTTAAATTTGATACATTCATTAAAAAAATAACATAAAATTCGCTTGATGTGACGTAAAGTATAATAATCTCAAATAAAATATTATTTTATCTTGCATTTAATTGAATAAATGACGGTCTAGAGCTGTCAAAATGGGTTGGTCACACTCAACTCAACTTTAACGGGCTAGAGAGTTAAATGGGTTGGGGTGAGCTGACCCTTTTAGTTAAAGGGTCAATAAAACAGCGGCTCAACCCAGCCCTAAGCGGGTCACGGGTTGGGACGGGTTGATATTTCAACCAAATAATGAATAATATTACGCTTTTAGAAGGAGTATCTAAGAGAATTGAATATTGACGTCTATGAACAGGATATCAATACATACAGATTTTCATTTATGAATCACACACTTCAGCGAATACTTGCAAAAATTCATTTATGAATCTCACACTTCGGTGAATACTTACCAAAATACATAATAGTCAACGTAAGATTTAGCAAAAAAATGTTGATCATTCAATCATTCCTCCTAAAAAAAAAAAAGGCTAGTGTAAAGACTTGATTTTTTTATGTTTTTAACATATTTATTGATAAAATATTTACAAATAAAACACTACTATATATATATTCACGTCTTTCCCACTCTTTGTCCTCTCTCGCTCGCCCCTCTCCTCCCTCTCTCAATCTCGATTGCCATTTATACAAATGTATATGTATAATTTACAGTTATATACAAATATATACATATATAATTCATCTCTCTCCCACTCTCTGTCCTCTCTCGCTCGCATCTCTCCTCCCTCTCCCGATCTCACTCGCCTCTCTTCTCTCTCTCCCAATCTCGCTCGCCTCTCTCCTCCCTCTCCCAATCTCTCTTGCCATATATACAAATACAAATGTATAATATACAATTATCTAACCAAATACATATACGATTCACCTTTCTCCCTCGCATCTCTCCTCCCTCTCCCGATCTCACTCGCCTCTCTTCTCTCTCTCCCAATCTCGCTCGCCTCTCTCCTCCCTCTCCCAATCTCGCTCGCCTCTCTCCTCCCTCTCCCAATCTCGCTCGCCATATATACAAATACAAATGTATAATATACAATTATCTAACCAAATACATATACGATTCACCTTTCTCCCACTCTTTTCCCCCTCTCTCTCTCCTCCATATAACATGTAGCTACAAATTATAATTATCAAACTATAGCTATGGAGAGTAATTAATTATTTTAAAGTGACTATATGTGAAAGTTTTCCTATTTTTAAATGTTCATAGCCCACGGGCTAGCCTCTGAGACTAGCGAATTTGGCCTATGAGGCTAGCGAGCAAAGTGAGGCTGGGCTTAAAAATTTGTTTTTAAATGGGTCAAAAAAAATCAGACACAACCCACTTAATTCAAGAATTGGATTGGACCGACCTTGCAGGTCAAATCCATTTTGACGGCTCTAAATAACACTAACCATTTTGTTCTATCATCATTCTATATAAATGATGGTTCTTCCGTCCGACGAAAACAATGAAAAATGCCACGTGGGGTCAACCAATGCAGAGTACTTTATTCCAAATAAGTGGGGTTATTTCTGTAATTTTACTTTTTAAATCCTGCTAATGCTTTCCACTTATCAGCCTTTTTTTATAATGAAAATAGCTTGCACGGACATCCTTTATCTAGTTTAAAATAAAAATTCAAAATCTTTTATTTTATAGTATAGACACCTTGTAGATTAGTTAAAATGTTTTCAATCTTATCACATTTTTCTTTTCTAGTAGGATATAATATAAATATTGATTAATATTTTAAAAGATATTTTTTAAATGATGAAAAAATTTATAATATACATCACATCTTGTTTAGTTTTTTTTAAATGTCTAAATAAATATAATTAATTTTTTAAAATTAAAACGCGATAACTATTTTGGAACGGAGCGAGTATATACCACACCACTTGTGAATAGCCGCACATAAAATTTGTTAACAAAACAGTGGGAACCAAAACAGGCCAATTTGTCCCTTTTCGTCTTTTTTTTTCTATGTAAAATCCCCAATTTTTCTTCGCCATTTTCAATCTCAATTCTCAGCTCCAATGGACGAAAACGATGATTTTTCTCTAACTTCACCCCCAAATCTCAAGCAGAAGCTCAAAAACTCCCTCTGTTTGTCTTGTTGCTTCCCTCACCGCCGTCCTCCGCCGCCGCCGTCATCGTCTGATGAGAATCCGGCGCTGATTTGGGTAAACAACGAAGAATCTAGTAACCTTCTGAAATTGAAAGATAAGGTGTTAAATGTTCTGAATTTCGTCGGAACTGGATCGAATCGGCACAAGAGACACGCTTCTACTGAGTTTCGTTACGATCCGATGAGTTATTCGCTTAATTTTGAAGATGGATTTGATGATGATAGTGAAGAAATTGCTCCTTTGAGGAATTTCTCCTCTCGACTTCCTCCTTCGCCGCCGGTGAAATCCTCGCCAGTGAGGGAAGTAGCTGCTGCAAGTTAAGTGCTTTTGTGTGATAATTTTTATTGTTTTTTTTTTCTATATAGAGATGAAATTACAGTTGAGTTTGATTCTGCACATAGATTTATAATCTAAAAATTCTTGCCTTTTTTTCGCTATTTCTCTGCTTTGCTTATTATTTGGGTCTGGATATCCCACTTTGGAGGTAAATAGCTTAGTTCATATTCAGAGCTCAAACTTGAGATTATGGAAGAAAATCTTTCACCGATCTCATGTTCAAAGCTCAAACTCGAGATTATGAGATGAAATGCTTCTGATGAGCTCATATTTAAAGTTCAAACTCGAGTTATGAGATAAAATGTTCCCATGAATTCATCATATTCAGGTTTTAAATTCGAAATTTTAATTAAAATTAAGAATTGAGGAATATTTACCGTTTCATTGCAAATCAGGGATTATATATGAAATTTAGGGGAGAAAGAAATCAGAATTTAGAGCTGAGTTTTGGTTTTGAAAATTTCTCTTTGCACTCTAGAGAGACCGTAGAGGCTGTCTTTAATGTTAAACTACTCGTTCATTCATTCTTAACAAGAAATCTTGCATTCGAGCTTTGAAAATGAAGTCACAAAAAACACTATTAAGAGACTTTCTGATGCTCATTGGTACGAATATGAAATATCGAATGAAAAATAAAATAACTTCATAGTTGAGTTTGAAGTATTTCTTTGTTATCATACATTCACACTCCATCTAGTATTCAATCAAATAGATTGAGAATCGTAAGGTATTAAATTCGATTTCTAAATAAATTAAATATTAGGTGTGTCTTTTTCATCTATAACAATAACATATTAAGTGAAATACACCTTATTTCTATCTTAAATACTTTCGATTCAAATATAATAAAATAATATACTCAAATAAATTATCAAAAATGATAATAAATACAGATGGACATAATAAACAAAAACTACAATAATACAGGTAATATGTTGGTAAGCATCAATCACCCTAACTAGGACAACACTATACTACCTGCTAACCTTTTATTCTAATACACGTGGAGCTTAAGACAACACTATACTACCTACTAATCTGCTATCCTATCTCTTCACGTAATCTCTATCAATAACCTCCCGCACTTCTTCACTGGTGCATCATCACATTTTCTCTTTATATGTTTAGTCTTAACCAAGCTAGTCTTGCTTTTCTTATGTTATCCTCCACGATTTACGAATGTCACTTTCACCTTATTTTGAATATTCTAATTTCTGATCGACTGTTCATACTATGACCATACATCCATCTTAATATCCTTATCTCCACAATATATATTTTTCAAATATAAATTTTTTTATTAGTCAACACTCCAACCCATAACCATCTTTTTTTTTTTAATATATAAGATCTCAATAGGATCTCTATTTGGATAAGAATATGACTCATACTTTTGGATATGATCTCAAGATATTATTTATTAATGTTGGTAAAAAGAAAAAGGATAAAAGAAAAGGATGACATAAAAGAAAAGGTAGCAAGCATATAATGAAAGTGAGAATTAAGTCAGCTTCATGAATTGCCAATAGGATTGTTGAACATGACAAATAATCTTTAAATATTATTACTAAGCAAATATTTTACATCATATTTGATAATTACTATTATTTCAATGTCCATATTAACAAGAAAAGCTAATTTATAATTAGAAGACTTAACACCCCTTCCACCCAACTTGCTTCACTCATGCACAATAATAAAAGAAAATTAAAAGAGCTTACATTTAAATTACGATAAAATTATCAATTTTACTTTATTTTTTTTGTAAAAAAAATATTTTCCCATTATACTAAAGTAAATTAATATGTAGTATGCCACCTCAGTATGAAAAAAATAAAATTCAAATACTTATCATTCCACACGTTGTAGACACGAATATTCACATGAGTCCAACACTCTTTTGTTTCTTCTTTGCTTTAAAGATTTGTTATAAATTACTATACCTAACTTATGAGATATTTTTTTTTTGGCGGCCACACGGTATATGCCAATTGCAAAAAACTTGTACTGATAATGAGACTATAGTACAAAATAGTATCTATCTGTTCTTCAATTCAGAATTTAAATTCGAGATCTTTAATTAAAATTAAAAAAATCTTATGAGTTACTATAGTTTTTTTTTTGCCATACTTTTGACTATGTGTATATTAATTTTAGAAGTATTGAGAAAATGTAAATTATTAATTTTATCTTTAAACGGTCATCAGCGTTAAAAATATCTTTCTAGCCTAAATAAATTTCGATACATCATCGATACGCTACATGCTAAAACAAGTAGTCTCGAATTCTAGTACGAAGGAACATAAGATTCTTTTAAAAAAGTCGAGAGAAGTGTTCAGAATACTCAAAACTTCACAAGAATTTAAAGGTATATTTAAGTTCAATTAGTCAAGTAAAGACATATTTTTAAGACATTCAATAATTTGAAAATAAAATTAATAATTATATTGAATAATCATAAAAAAATTAATTTACGTTAAATTTAAAAATATTCTAAATATTTCTCTTATCATTTTATCAACCTATTTCTCCTAACACATGTAACTAATTTATGTGTATATGGAAAATAAAAACAACTAAAGTATCCTTTTCCTTTGTAGATTTTATTATTTGCTAAAATAAATATAACATTAGATTTTTTTTAAGTATTATTTTAATAAAGGCACCTTTTTTAATAGTATTTCTTAAACCTACCTTTTAATTTACAACCACTTGTCCACTTCTCTCACTCCCTTTTTATCCCTTCACACACACATCCCACACGCACAAACAAATACATATAAGTAAACACTCACCAATTCTCAAATTCCCATCATTCTCCTCCCAACACACACATATTATTTGTTGATTTTATTCGATATTCGTATTAAATTTTAATTGATTTCTCTATTTAAAAGTATTTCTATATTTGATCTTTTTTATTTGATACTTAATATTCATATTAAATTTCAATTGATTTTTCTATTTAAAAATATTTTCATATTTGGTCTTTTTTATTTGATATCCGATATTCATCCTGAATTTCAAATTAATTTCTCTATTTAAAAATATTTTCATACGAGCTTAGTATCATGAATAGTTATATTCCCGTTACTGATTCGAAACAAGAAAACGAAATTTCTGATTATTACTACGATTCATCATCTTCTTCTTCAACTGGATGTGGATTGTGTAGTTGTTTAAATTTTTCATGTTTCAATTGGGGCAAAGGCCATGAAGTTCACAGCAGATCTCTGCTACAAGATCATGAAAAACCAGAGCACAGAGAGTCATGGCTGGTGATATTGAAGAATTTATTAAGAAAAATGAATAGTAATTCGAAGAAATCGAGACCTCAATTTCAGTATGATGCTCAGAGTTATGCTCTAAATTTTGATGATGGAGCTCGTGAGGAAGAAGATGGGCTTTTCAGTAATTTCTCATCTAGGTTTGCTGTCCCTGTTATTGCTCAAAAACAGAGCAAAATTGGTTTGTGACACCTTTTTATTGAGAAAATTATTGAAAATGTTATTAATATAATTAGACTACTATTTTCTTTTCATTCGTATTTAATATTCGTATTGAATTTTGATCAAATTTAAATTCGTGTCGTGAATTACAAATGGGTAAAATACTCTATATTACAGATAAATAAATACTTAACATTCTATCGTAACTTTTAACTGTAATAAAAATAATTGAATACTTATCATTCTATCCTAACTTTTCATGGTTAGGATATTGTTGTTATGTATGACTTTTTGTAATGTTTGCTCAAATAGCGAGGGATATTAGCCGAACTCGATAGCTTTTATTTGGATTCTATATAAATAAAATTTCATCAAATACGTATAGATAATGAATTTTCATTCCAATAAATTAGAAGAGTTGTGTTGAAATCTCGATTTGAGCTCTTGGACGAAGCTAGAGGGTTTTTTATTGATTCATGTGAAATTGTGAACCTAATAACTTTTGTAGAAATCTCACTCAAGAATTATATAGATAATTAAAATTATAAAATAAATACTCAAAATTCTAAATCAACTATAGTTAGAATTCTACTAGAATATTTATTACTATATGATAATAATTATTATTATAAATAATTTAATCTTAGTCGAACTATAATCCTAATCTTAATATAATTTTAGTCGTAGTTTAATCTTAATTAATATAAGTAGTCTAATTCTAGTGCGATTCTAACTCTAAATTTCCTTCTTCATCAACACTTGTTGAACCTGTTTCTTTGACATATTTCAATTGTCAGATTACGTATTCATTAATACTTGCTGCAGACACGTCAGAAATTCACTTAATATTTAATTAGTATGAACTCATTTATATTAAAAATTTGAGATTGCTATAAAAACTTAAAGAGCTTCAAATATTAGATTTTCGATAAACAAAAAGTATAGCACATCAAAACAGCAACCCTTTTAATTGAAAATCTAACACTTAAAAGTTAATCTTTTGCGATATATATATCTAAATTTGAGACATTAAATGAACGTGCATCCACAACTTATAAGCTAAAAATCATTAAAAGTATTTTACATAATATAAAATGACTTTCCTCCTATCAAACATATTCTTTTCCCTTCATGCATGATATTCTCAATTCTCCTGTCATGTAAAATGATCATTTCTAGATTTTTCACCTGCACTATAAATATAATTTTTACCAAAATATTAGGATAAAGTTAGTAAAATATATTGTTTTGAGTAACAATAATTAATTAATTAGTAACTGAATCTACCTTTTGCGTTTGCTTTTTTGAGCAGAAGATGATGATGGAGTAGAGTGCCAATTTCGTTTCCTTTGGTTAATGAACCAATTATTGACTTGTTTTAATTGCAATCCTGTATCTTTCACTAATTTTGCTTTATCTTCCTCCTATATATAAGCATCATCAACAACAAAAAAACCTTAGACAATCTGATGCACAAAGCATTCCATATTCACGTGGTGTTGGGATTCGCCCTAAGGAGAGCTCTAACATGACGCCCTGAGACTTACGTGTGTGACTTAGTTCTATAAGAGTTTCATTCTAAGTGTCCGAATGTACGCCTTAAGCACGCTCAAAATCCAACACTGTGAGCTTGCGTAACAGATCTTGCACAAATTATGTGTTTAATTCTTTAGTTAACACTAAAACAAATTACGAATATTGAAAGGTTGGACCTTAAAACAGAAACGAATTCAAGATTTAAACTTTAATATGATTTTCTAAATTCAATGTCAATAATAATTTCAAGTGCTAGTTTTACCCGTGTCCCAAAAAGGCGCATGAATGATGTAAGCTGCCTACTGACGACTGAGACCAACATCAATTAATAGCTAATTTCACGATTCGAACTTGTAACTTAATGAGTATAGTAGTACTTACTGTGGGATAAGGCCACTTAGAATGTGATTTCCACCAAGCTTTTAAGGCAGAAGTAGTGTCACCAGGCAGCTTTCCTGCTCTTCTTTTTCTTAAAATTTCTTCTCTAATGTCAACAATCTTCCCCTTGTAATCCTAGAAAGAAAAAAAAATACCAAAAAAAAAGAAGATAATCCAATATTTAGGATCAGTAAATATATAACAAGCTTTATCTTATTATTCACTCTGTTCTGTTCGGTATTATTTGTCACGTTGCGTTTTTCGAAAGTCAATTTGACTAATTTTTAAAATTAAATTATATTACATTAATTCGATATTTTAACAAAAAAGTTAAATATTCTAAAACTATATGAAAGGTACTATAAATTACAATTTTTCGCATATTAATATGATAAAAGAATACATCTTAAAAATGTTAATCAAGGTTTTTATAGTTTGACTCTAAAAAATAGAAAACATGACAAATTAAACAAATACCGTATTTATCAATGTGATTTTTCAGTTGAATGCTACATTTTAAACTAACGAAACCACAATATCTTTAACTACACATATATTTGTATAATCAAAATTACTGAATTCAACTGAATCGTACTAAATATATACTAGTAAATTGTTACCTGTTTGAACTCTTGTTTCAATTCTTGCCTCACACGTTCCATTAAAAATCTTTCATTTTCAGTAGGTACAAGAGGACCAAAACCATTACTATCTTGTCCATCTAAAATTCCATTATAATGACAATATGTCTCACTTTCTACTTGATTATCTTCATCATCATCTGACATGGTTGCACCTGTACCTTCTCCTGATGCTACCCCTATCACGCATCGAGAATTTAAACTTGATGAGTTCAATCTGTAAGTATATATTAGTATGCTTGAACTCGATGTATGTAATTATGAAATTCCGAGTTCATAATATGATAACGTTACCAATTATATATGTTTCAGTCCTAAATAAGTTGAGATCTGCTAAATAGATCATTATTGATATTGAATATGGGGCGGTTCCACGGAAACCCAAAATCTTTTGTATATTTATTGAGAAATATGCAAAATGTTAAGAAATATTTGACTATGAATTTATAAACTTCAAATTCTGAGAATGAATATGCATTTTGTCAATCATGTTCTGCGTTTATAAAGTTCTTAAGAATTTCTAATAAGGTTAAAAGACTCTTCGAAAACATAGGATTAAATGTATTAGTATGTCTATCGAAATATCATAGTAAAAATATTGAATTTAGTTGAACCGATAAAAGATGATATATTGTTAATTAAACACAAATGTGTTATATATTAATTACCTGTTAAAGTTTGTAGAGATTGATCAAGATCCCAACAAGCCATGACAGCTTCCATTGCATGGACACGAACATGTTGTTGTAGTTGCTCTTTAAAAGAAGAGAGCAATAGAACATAATTTGCCTACAAAATAATTATTAACAAAAACAAAATAGAGTTTAAGTTATATTATTTCAATCGAAATGAAAAAATAATAAACCTTTTGTATTAACCCTCTAATATTCCTTTTTTGAGGTTTGAAATTCCAAAAAGAATATCGGAACCTCACTATTAATATAGTGATGTATCCACCAGGATTTTCAATAAGAGGGTTCAAAATCTGTAAAAATAGATAACTAGAGGGGGTTCGATCAACATCTACGATATATACATACAAACTTATTTTAATCATGTATAAATAATATAATTTTCTGCTGAAGAGGGTTCAGATCAACCCCTTCATACAAGATAGCTCCGCCCCTGGTCATATTTAAAAGTCAGACAGTTGAACATCATTGACAAAGAATTGGTGGGATTAAGGATGGGATTGAATAGCAAATGCACTTGTGGTTAGGATAAAACCTGCATTTCCTACTTAATGCAATTGATCGATCCGACATTTCTTTTCTTTAATAATGTCTTCGCTTCACTTTAAGACACTATTTATCAAGGAAAGGCAACCTTTTTTTTATTTAATGGATAAAGTAGAAGGAGTGAACAAGCGCTCCGATAACGAACCGTAAAAAAATAATAGCGAAAATTTTATTTTTATAAATACAAATATTATGCCACTAAACTCTTTCTTGAAAATCGAGAAAATATTTCAAATTTAATTTCAAAACTAGATTGGATTCACCATCCGTTAGACACAATACAAATATCTCACATTTTCTACACTAAAATCATCTTAAATCGCGAGATTTAATCTTAAAAACAAGACAGATTATATATTATTATAACAAATCAAAAAAATCTAGATCGTGTAAAATAAAATTTCTAATACAACGAACTATATATAACTCTTTAAAAATATACTATATATTAAATCTTAAACATCATGGAAAAATACATGAATTTGTCATAGATCAAGTTCTTAAAAATAGTAAAATTACCATAAATTGATCAAGTTCTTTATCATCAAGAGACCGTTGACTTTGACCAACAACATAGTACTTTGCCACCAAATTCTGTGACTCCGTCAACTGCTCGTCGATCCTCGGTAACTGGTCCACCGGAGTCGCGATTCTCAGGCAAGCCACGTGTGCAGAAAGAAGTTGTTCCGATAAATGATGGTTTAAAATATCCGCTTTGTATTTTTCACTCTGATCCCAAACGTTACTATTGTTGTTGTTGTTGTTGTGCTCGTTGTTATTGACCTCGTCCCTATATTGTTGACTTAGCTTTACGGAGAAATTCATCGATTGATCCGAAACGTCGTCATCGACGTTGTGTTGTTGTTGTTGTTGTTGTAGACCTAATTCTTGAGAAAAGTGATCATGAAACTCCATGATTGTTGTTATTATTGAAGCTTTTGTTCACAACTTATATATTGCAATCATTTCATAGAATAGAGAACGAAAATGAGATAATAAAGAAACAACTTTTAATAGTATAGTCATGTATATATATATTTTAAAAATAAAGTAGTTGTGTGTGTATATATTAAAAAATAAAATAACATGTAATTTAATTTAAATACATCGTAACATCGTAGAAATTTCTTACATCAATGATAGGAAGAGATTAGTAGCTTATATAAATTGGTGTAAAAGGGATTTCCTCCTACATAATTACATGTAAGTTTCCTAAGCGGGACCGACAAAAATAGTGCGACAAATAAAATTATTCATCCGTTAGAGATTTTATATTTGAGTCCAGTAATTTCAAATGAATCAAACTCTAACGTAGATGTCCGACAAAGATATATTATGATGTAAATCAAACTTTATAATGATAGTACATACAACTTAAACTCAAATCGTTTATTCATTTACATGGATATGCCAAGTACTTAGTTGAAAAAAGAATTATTTTCTTATAAGTTCGTTTCAAAATAATGATATTATTTATTTACTACTCAATTAATTAGTCCATTTTTAAAAAAATAGATATTTTTCTTAATTTGAAAACAATATAATTTGAACAATTTTGAATTTTTTATATATAAGATCAATTATAAATACTGTCATATATAAAGATCGATTATAAATATGAAACGCAATCAAATTTCACGAAGGATTGATAATTAATCAAATCATCACCTCTTAGCTACCAACTGGTGTTTAAAATATATAAAGATAAATTCAATAAAAATTAAGATAATTGATCTAAAGTCTCATTTGGCAACTCTTATCAACCACTAACAATATCTACCTAATTAATAAATAATCAAGAAGATGTGGATTTTCCGGTGACTAATTAAAGTTCCAAAATCCAAAAATATCAGTGAAAAATAAATAAATATAAATAAATGATCTCTAGGTTTTGTATATACTCCGTCTGTTTCTAAATTAAAGTTATGTCAAATGTACCAAAATGTCTTTTAATCTTGTGATCTTAGACATGTCACGTGGAAAGATAAAATTAAAATATTGCCAAAAATGAAAAGAGGTCATTTTTTTAAAACAAACTAAGAATGAAATAAGGTCATTCTTTTTGAAATGGAGGAAGTACTATTTATGTTAATAGTGTAGATATAGAATATTCCTCTGTCCATTTTTAGTTGTTACAGTTAAATTAATTTTTAAATTTAAATATTTTAACAAAAGCTAAATATTTAAATAAAAGTTAAATTAAATTATATTAATTCCATATTTTAAACAAACAATTTAGATATTTAAAAACTATACAAAAATTACTATAAATTGTAACGGTTTCTTTTTTTCTTTTTTTTGCATAAAATGATGAAAAAAACACTTCATAAAATGTTAGTCAAAGTTCTTATAATTTGATTCTAAAAAAGAAAATCATAACTAAAACTGGACAGAATACTCCATTCATCCTAATGTTTGCAGTGGCGGATCTAGGATTTTAAGGTTGTGGGTGTTCTGAAGTGGAACTGTAAAAAATATGTGTTAACAATGAGATTTAAACCTTGGTACAACAACATTAAAAGAGTCTTAAGTACCCATCCTATAATCATTGGGCCAACTATATGATTTATTTATTGGGTGCTCTATGTTAATTTTTTGCAAATACCTATCGGTTTCTACATAGATATATATATTTCGTAACAAAGTTAATGGGTGCTCGAGCACCCGGCAGACACCATGTGGGTCCGCCCCTGAATTTATGTGCACAATTGAAATATCGAAAGTTAATCAAGTTTTTTTCTTGGACTGAATTTTTGTTATGTCTTTTAAAACATTTATATAGTTTACAAATACATACATTTTATCTCAAATTTATATAAAAACTTTTGCTTTATTTTTAAAAAATATTTCTGTTTGTTACAACTTACAACCAATACCTTTTCTTTTTCTTATTTTAATTTGATGCTATTTCATTTAATTAGTGAAATTAATGTCGTAGGCAACTTTGACAGATCATGTTGATAATAATGACAAACATATAATTCGAAAGATTAATTAAGTTAATGAGAATTAGGACCAAAAAAGTCATTAGTTAATCAGAAATGGGAGTGACAGCTTGTCTTATTGTTCTTTAGAGAGTTAAACGTTTCTAATTGTGATTTGTTGAAGCATTATAATGCTTAATTATTCTAATCCATGAATAGTGATTAAATTGAAATATTTGTGCTTTTGAAGTTAATGCATTTATGTCTGAGGTTCATGTATTTATAAATTTAGGGACGTTTTGGTAGCTAGTTCGAAAAAGAGTTATACCAACATATTAAATTGTATATAAGTAAGTTAATTATTGATCAAGAGGTACTTGAATTATTCATATATAAAAGTAATATAACGTTTGATTTTCAGTTTAAAAACTAACGCGTATACAAGTTATGTATTATTTTATGCAACAAAGAAGTATGAAGGTGGTACTATATATATATATATATATACAAACTCTCCCGTTTTCATAATTAATTGTCATGGTTTTCTTTTTTAGAGTCAAACTATAAGAACTTTGACCAACATTTTACTATGTATATTTTCATCATATTGATATGCAAAAAATTGCAATTTATAGCATTTTTCGTGTGGTTATTGAATATCTAATTTTTTTTCAAAAAAAATATAGAATTAATATAATTTAATTTAACTTTATTTTCAAAATAAGTTAAATTAACTTTCAAAATGCGTGACATGACCAAAAAAAAGTGGACAACGAAAGTATAAATTAATACCTATATAAAATAACAATCATGATAACTGATTTTTATATTAATAATATTTAAAAATAAAATTCTAACCAACTAATAAACGACTCTTCGTACGTGACTTAAAAATTCTTATTATAGGACTTCATTTATATTAGCAGGTCTGGTCCATTTGCATAGAGCCCAAAAATATGACAAAAAAGGTACATGGTAGACCTTAACTTAGTTCTGATTTTTCGTGAAGTCCGTAAATAATGAAAACTTAGTGAATCGAAATAATGAAAACTTAGTGAATCGAATTAGTATTTTATTTGATATGAAAAAAGTACGCATTGAGAATTCTTATAGCAGATATTAACTAATTAATGCCACATTAGGAAAATTATTTAAAACTAATAATTTTAAAACGAAATCACTCTTTCATAATTAAAAGAGTCCTATTTGAATGGATTTATAAGCTGATGAAACTGATTTAAAAGTCCCAAAAGCTAAAAGCTAAGTGAAGGGTGTTTTTTTTCCAACTTAAAACTCATTTAATGTTGATCAAGTATATTACCTTTTTTCTCTTAATTTATTATTATTATTATTATTATTAATAATAATTTATGATGATAAAGAAATATGTGAATAGGAAATATTGTTACTTATGGAGGTAAAATATAAATTAATTTTATTTTAATTTTTTTTAAGAATAAAAACCTTAAATTAATCAACTTCTTATCATGTTAAGAGCTTCAAAGGTATTTCAGACATATTGATAAAAAAAGTATTTATCAATATTTATTTACCAAACACATCGACAATTTTTTTTAACTGCAGCACTTTTATCCAAATACATAATTACTTATTTTAAAAATAAATTTTAACACTTTCAGAAATATTTAAAAGTTAATTATTTTAAGTCAATCCAAATAGATTCTTAATAGAGTTTCCTATTAAATAAAGGTGTGTGTAATACTACCTTTAAGTGTTAGGTGATATCAAATGTTTTATATTAAGAAATTTTTATATTCCAAAAGTTTGGAACAAATAATCCAAAATGTCAGGCTTGATACTCCAAAAATAAAGCAACCAAGATGACAATATTTCCTTTTTTTGAATTGGTCACTACTCCCCATATTATTTTTAATTTTAGTTCATAGTATAGTCCATAAGAAACGTGAACTAACACAATAAAATAAAAGGAAAACGACACATTCATGAATGCATACACAAAAAAAGGTTCAGTGCGTGACATATACTGTGTCACTCAACTCCCAAACAATTAAATTATTTTTATAATTCCCAGGTGTGCACAAATATAAAATTCAGCTTCTATAATAACTCGTAAATCACGTAAAAGAGATAATCTACACTAGAAAGTCTGGTGCGATAAGCACGATTCAAAAGACAAATCTTGTTAAGAGATTTTTATGCAATAACTCATAAATCACATAAAAGAGGTAATCTGCACTAGAAAGTCTGGTGCAACAAACTCGATCCAAAAGATAAATCTTATTAAGAGATTTCTATGCAATAACTCGTAAATCACATAGAAGAGGTAATCTGCACTAGAAAATTTGATGCGACGAGCTCGATCCAAAAGATAAACCCTGTTAAGAAGTTTCGAACCTAAAACTTCCGATATGGAAGTTCCAAGCTCAAATCCACCCAAAGTCCGACTTAAATTCAGATAACACATTGCATCGCGCAATTCATCTAGGTAAAGTCCTTTTTATATTTTTCATTTCCTGGTAAGATTAAATTATTTAAAATTTTACGAATTAGTGATTAATAAATCTAAGTAAAGCAAAGTCCTTTTTATATTTTTTCATTTCCTGGTGAGCTTAAATTATTTTAAATTTTACGAATTAGTGATTAATAAATCTAAGTAAAGCAAAGTCCTTTTTATATTTTTTCATTTCCTGGTGAGCTTAAATTATTTTAAATTTTACGAATTAGTGATTAATAAAGTGAAAAAATACAATAAGTACCCTGTCGCTGGGCCCGAACACAAAAAATCAGGCGATATGAACAGCAGCAACAATGATAAAAATACAAAATATTAAGCATTTAATTTTTCCATATTATAAGCAGTTTACGAGGATAATAATTCAGAATAAAAAGCAAATTCAGTAAGAAAATTTCTGAGGTATTAAAAATTGACAGTGAATAAACAAAAAAAATAATAATAAATCATGAAGATTGAAAGCTATTTTCTCCAAAATTTAAGAATTTTTCTTCGCTGTCAAATACACATTAAACAAACAAATCTCATAAAAATCAAACAACAGCTAATAATTTTTTTGTTTAATAGAGTATAAAAAAACAGCAATTATTATTACCTTAATTAGAAAAAAAGATTAAAATTATTAAACCTTACGGAAAACGAGATCTTCACCGTCTTCATTAACCGGAAGCAAATTCCTCTTACTCATATCGGCAACCGTCACAGTAGGTGAAGAACACGGCGATGAATGACCGGACGCCGCTGCTGACGCCGCCGCAACCAACGATAAACATCCTTCACTCCACGACCGGCGAATCGGATACGAAATATTCATATTTCTCGACGAATGAGAACAGTTCCCTCTCGATTTATGTAACGCACAGCCACAATTCCGGTGGTATGGCCTTTTTGAAATTTCTAGATCGTGACCGGAGATAGATCCTTCGAATACTCCCCGGAAAATTGCATCGCCGGCAGCTCCGGTAGCCATATTACCGTATTTTGCTCGTGAGAGCAGGGTGGTAATGGCGAAAGAGATTTAGAGAAGTGAAAGGGAAATAAATTTAAAAAAGGGGGCAGAAAACGTGTAGGGGTAGGGTGAGTTGCGTGGGGGGTGGGGTAACGGCAAAAGCGGCACAATCGAGGTGAATGGGCCATGCAACTATTCAACGTGTTAATTTATTTTTCCTTAGATCTGGATATTTTGTCGGCCTTATAATGTTCATTTTTTTGTTAACAAAAAGGAAAAAAAATATCGTATAAAGTTTAATTTTTAATTTAATACACCTATAAAAAGATTAGGCTAGCAGTACCACATAATTCACGAAAATTATATATAATAACAAACTATTAATTCAAAATAAATATTGTAAATATATTTTGATTTAATTATACCTGATAGCAAATTGTTACTATTTCGTCTTTGTAGTTTGTACAGGTGAATCTCGCTTGTCACTCTCATTTTCTCCCTTACTTTTCTCGTTTTTTTATACAAATATATATAATGTGATTGTGTTTGTATAAAGCGAGAGAAAATTATATATATATATTTTCGTTTCCCACTCCTAGATTTCGCTTGCTCATCCGCGTCTCTCTCACTTTATACAAAGACGCAAATGTATAAATGTGTTGTATTTGTATAAGCGAGCGAAAATTTTATATATACATATATTTCATTACATTCTCCCAGATCTCGCTTGCTCACTCTTCTTTCTCACCTTATATAAAATATAAATGTATAAATTGTGTTTGTGTTTGTTTAAAGCGAGAGAAAATTGTATATACGAATAAAAATGCATATATTTTTGTCCTAAATATTTGTGATTATACAAATACAATTTCTCCCTGCCCATTTTTTTGTTATTTCTCTCTTTTTCGCTTTATACAAATACAGATTATACAATTGATCTTATGTATATATACGCCAAAGCAAATCATAAAATTGGTTTCTTTTGTATATGTATAGTGAAATATACATAATTATGTTATCTATGAAGCGCAATTATGCAAATTATAGCTATAACATACAAATATTTTATATTATGTTTGTTATATATGAATGTTGCTCAGAAGAATATTTGAGAATATAATTCGATTCAATTATAAGAGATATATTGAAAATAGTGATAAACTTAGAGTGATACATTTGCAAATGGTTTCAAACTCTTCTACGAGGATGAGAATCTAATAAGAAATCAAGAAAAATATCAAAAGCATTTTTTAAATTTTGTGAAAATTTAGAATATATTTTCACTCATATTATAATATCAAAATATATTTAAATTTAATTAATCAAATAAAAAATATGAAGCTAGTGTATTTGACTATTTTTGTTCACTCCAAGGGTGATCCAATATAAAAGAGTCAATTAGTTCCAGATGCATACGTTGTTCATCTCGACCTAAATTATTTTATATTATTTGTCTTATAAAAAATAAATAAGACATACTATGAACTTGAATTGTGATGATTTAGTATATTTTATTTATAACATAAAGATGATGCCCCAATCACCGACCAAAGTACAAGGAAAAAGAATTAATGATAGGTAATAGTAAAGTGCATTTAAAATTGATGACCCACACAATGCTATCTCATAATAGAAACACGCACTCGACTTGTCCATTCATGAAGAATCATCGATTCTTCGTAATCAAACGTTAAATTATCCACGAATTTAAAATAGTCGAGTTTCAATATAAATATTAAATATCAATTAAAGAAATAAAAAAGAATAACATTGGAATCACCTTTGGCCTAAGAACGGTGCTTTTATTATATTTAGTTGAAAGAGTTTAGGTGATATTTTCAAAGTGACTCTCAACGGAAGAATCTAAGATATTTTAAAAGAATCAAAACAATTCACCGAATATCTTAACTTATTTAAAGACTAAAATGAACCATGAAATTAAATATTTACTGTAGATATGAACTTTCCCATAAAGCTAGGAATAAAAAATCCTTGTTCCAAATTAAGATTCGAAAGGACTAAAACATTATACACACAACTATCTTAGCTCAATAGAATGATTGATATTTTTAGAAAATTATTATACTATTTAATCCATCTGTCTCGATCAATTTATATGACATCTTTTATGTTTTGAGAGTCAAACAATTTAAGTTTGACAAGAGATTTGCGCATGAAATCTTCAATTTTTTTGAAATAAAATTTATATATTTGTAAACTATGTAAAAGGTATTATAAATCACAATAATTGATAATTTAAAGTGTTTATAAGATTTATAAAAAATTTACTGTCAAAGATAGACTTGTTTGATTCTTTAAATTTGAAAAATGATATATAAAAAGGAACATGTAGTACTACTAATAATTGTAGCTTTCCCACAAGTTGGGACAATTACCATATTATCGTACCTAATGGACCTAAATATCATTGACTTTCATCATCTTTGTGTTTCATTAATCTTGCAAAAAAGATAGACTATTATTTAAGAAGTTATAGTGGAAATTTGATTGAAAATTCACTCATACTAACTTTTATTTTTCTATAATCTTGCTTCACTCGAAAAATAAAAAAATAATATAAGGACTTTTTTTTATAAGGACTATTTTTTTAATAACAATATCATTTGTCTGAATATTTTTGAATGTTATATTAAAATATTATTATAGAAGATATATAAAAACATAACATGAAATTTGTTTTTATCCTTATAGTGAAATATAGGTTTGAACCTCTAATTTATTTGTGTTGGATGTGGCAATTGCTACGATTACAATACTTTTTTTTTTTATATATATATATATAATAATTAGTTGTTTATCTATAAAGACTCTAATATTAGATTTATAACAAATATTCAGTTTCTTTATTGTAGCAAAAGTCTAAATTTAAATTTTATTAGGAGTCCACTACTAAATTTATGTAGTTATTTAAAGACAAATAATTAATGAATTTTAAGATAACACATATTTTCATCTATATATATTGGAATGGTCACGTATTGATTTGGATAGGTTATTGGTCGAAATTAAAATCAAATCAATTTTTTTAATTTTAAAATTACTAAAATCAAATCAAATATAGTATATATTTATCGGTTTGGTTGTTATCGGTTTTGATTCGTTTTGGTTTGGTTATTTGGTTATTAACCATAGACAAAAAGAAAAAGAAAAGGAACCACTCATTCAAAACATGGAAAAAATGACAACTATCTATTTTAAAACGAAAATAGTTAGAATAACTGACATTATAGAACTTTCAATTATTGAATTTACTCTTACAAAAGCTTCAAAATTCATTATTTTGGCCTAGAAGAAAGAGAAAGTCATATTTTCAATCTCATAAAAAATTATCATAGACACACTCGTATACGTAAAATCAATAAGATAAATATTCTCACCTTAGACATTTTTTCTTTCATAAATTATAAATATATTTTGATGAAAACACATATAAGATCTTTAAAATTGTTTATAAAAAAATATATTATGTATGTATATTAAAAAGATTTATAATTTGACGGTTCGATTTGATTATTTATTCAATTTCTTTTTGAACTAAATCATAATCAATCCATATACTATCGATTTTTAAAAATCTAAAACCAAACTACACCTAATCCAAATAAAAATCGATTTAGTTAGTCGATTTGGTTTAATTTTTCAATTTGAATCGATTTTTATTCAAACTGTAGACACCCCTACGTATATACTTATAGTTGATACTTCCAATTTGAAAATTGGTATATATCCTCATATTAATGGACTAATAAAAACTTTACTGCAATGAACTTAATATATCGTTATTTAACTTAGTAGCACAATAATGACGATAAACTCTTTGTAAAAATAAAATATAATCTAATGTTAGGATGAATTTATGTAGTAAGAAGTGACTAGCCGCCTACCTACTCAATATCTATCTCAATATCTATAAAGAGAGACGGATTTCGCCTGCCACTCTACCGAGCTAACCAGAATGGAGAGTCCGAACGAACGCAATGTCACTCGATCATTATCAAACTGACTGCAATCTTTTTCTGTCCGTGAAGATCCCACCAGAGCGCCCTCTACTTCTAATAGGCCATGAACTAGATCAGAATCATTCTCAACGAGTCCATGTTTGGTTGAGATAAAATTATGAAATAGTTATCTCATAATTGTAATGATATTATTTTTATTCCACATTGAGAATGAGATAACAATTTTAAAATAATTAATCTCAGAATAATTAATTGTGAGATAACTTATATATAAAGTAATGAGATCTCATATATTTTGGGGCTAATTACATCTTATCTCGAAATTTTCTCCAATTACAAAAATCTGAACTTTTTCATTGCTCTTGGATACATTTTTTTATTGTCTAACACATTACAAATGATACAGTGCGTTATAGAAAAATATATTTTATAAAAAAATACTTATGATTTTTATAATAGTAAAAAGTTTTAGAGATAATGAATCTTATATTGTATATTTATGTAACTTTTTCATAATTTATTCCCTAACCAAATGAGTCCTAAGTATAATCTTTTGCCCAAATAAAGACTTTCTCGTTTTTGGGCTTTGTTAATCTAGAATTGTGAGCAATGACACATTAACATAGATCTTGCAAATATTGAACTTAGCATTTAAATTATATTGGTGAAATATTTTTTTTTTCTAAAAAAAATAGTAACTTGTTTAAGTGAAAATAAAATAAAACTTTATGGGGATATATTAATGATAATTGGGAAATGTGTTATTATCAAGTTGCCATGTTATGAAAAAGTTCATGTTTAGCGCACGGCGTTGGGAGTTGACTTTCTTGAAATTGTGAATGAAGAGACCTTAATGTACAATGTAATCAATCATCCTCTAATTTCATATGCTAATTCAAAATTTTAAATTTATAATTTTGAATTTTATAATTTGATCATTTAATATCTATCACGTTTTATATATTAACATATTCAGTAAAATGTTAAAAAGATTAAGTGTATGATCTATTTCTATCATGTGCAGATAGAAAAAGATGCCTCACGAGAATTTCTCAAAAAGGTCAACGCATTCTAGTTCCATTCTCACTCGTAAAATTTTA